TTCTGTTATATGCAGATTATCATACAATCTGCATATAACAGAAGAAGCCCTGGAAACAGCAGTGCATCTCCTTCAAGGTAAATAATGTGCTATAACCTTGGCGGTGAACATTTGTATAGCCAGAACCTACATCTATAGTAACTGCATGTTAAAAGTGCTAAGAAACCCTCTCTGAATTTCAGAATGTATCTGCGTCTTTGTGAGTAAAGCATTATAGATAGCGTATGAAGTATTTTACTTAACATGTACTAGATCTTTAGGTTAGTGGAACCTCACCCCCCCCCCCCCCCCCCCCCCACCACACACACACCACACCACACAACACCACACACCCAACACCACACACACCACACCCACACACCCCAAACACCACACCACCACCAAAACACCACACACAACCACACACCCAAACACCACACACACCACCACACCCAAACACCACACACACCACACACCCAAACACCACACACACCACACACCCAAACACCACACACACCACACACCACACACCCAAACACCACACACACCACACACCCAAACACCACACACACCACACACCACACACCCAAACACCACACACACCACACACCCAAACACCTGCCTGTGTAATGTGTGTCTGCAGTGCATGCAGTACGTGGGAGAGTTGAATTATCACCTTTACATAAACCAGAGGTCTAGATGAATGCTGCTGTTAACAGGGTTCAACCTTTTATCAGGCTTTTAGTGATAACTTGTTTCCCTTTCCCAGGTCCCCTTTGTTTAGCTTAGCTTAGCACAGCTTCACTAGGTTATGGATGGTGGCTGCTAATACATCAGACATGGGTTCAAATAGTATTCGATGTATTTCAAATACTTTTAACGTTTCCTTTAGACTTACAGGAGTGCCCGATGTGTGGAGTTTGGAACTGTTGCTCAATCAAGCCCAGATAAAGTAGTTAAAATGTTTTTGAATAGTATTTGAACCCAGATCTGATAATAATGTCAGATGCTGTTTCTCATGAACTGTGTCCCAAATGGCATCCTATTCACTACATAGTGCACTACATTTGACCAGGGCCCTATGGTCAAAAGTAGTGCATTATATAGGGAATATGGTGTGGCATGCATGACTGCACTTGAATAGAAATATGTAGGACTATTAGGGGGCAACAGTAAGCCTATGTTGAATGGTGCTGTTAGGGTTCGCTATGTGGGAATAGGGTGCCATTTGGAACGCATCAGTAACACTGGTGAAGGAGATGTTGAAAAGCAACAGTTGTACTGTCAGACTAGAGGGCTGGCTGGGTGGCTGGCTGGCTGGCTGGGTGGCTGGCTGGCTGGCTGGCTGGGTGGGTGGCTGGCTGGGTGGCTGGGTGGCTGGGTGGGCTGGCTGGCTGGCTGGCTGGGTGGGTGGGTGGGTGGGTGGCTGGCTGGCTGGCTGGCTGGGTGGCTGGCTGGGTGGCTGGCTGGCTGGCTGGCTGGGTGGCTGGGTGGCTGGCTGGCTGGGTGGGTGGCTGGCTGGCTGGCTGGGTGGCTGGCTGGCTGGCTGGCTGGGTGGGTGGCTGGGTGGCTGGCTGGGTAGCTGGCTGGCTGGGTGGCTGGCTGGCTGTCATACACCAACTGTTATCCTGCAGTCAGGTTGGATACACCAACTGTTACCCTGCAGTCAGGTTGGATACACCAACTGTTACCCTGCAGTCAGGTTGGATACACCAACTGTTACCCTGCAGTCAGGTTGGATACACCAACTGTTACCCTGCCTGGAGTTCTGTTCAGCTCTCTAGCCTGTACCCTCATTACACATGGCTGCAATAGAGTGACTTTGCTCTGAGACATTGCTGTAGACTTCTCTAAACACCATGGGAGTCTATACAGCCATGTCTCAGGGCAAGGAGTGACTGTAGCCTGGTCGCCAGGTTGATCTGTTTGTATTGTATTAACCAACTACCCCTCATTTGCTGTCATGACATGACAATGAGCACCAGAGAATTTGGCTCAAGCACAGACAGAGTTCAGGAGTGGCTAGGAGACGCTCCAGGCTAGGAATGACTGTCTTAGCCATTCGTTCACACAGTGTGTGATTTCTACACTTGTAAATACAGTATCTTATTTCTACAGCGCTACACCTTCCATCAGCTTTAGTGTGGTACTGATGACTCACAGGCTACTAATCCACCATGCTCACCCCCTTCAGGCCTCTGTCTATCTGTCTGAGGCCCATACTACCAATCAGGTTTGAAGAGTTAGAGAGGCAACTTTGGTCAACTCTAAGTTCAACTCGGGATAACCGGTACCCCGAAAGTGGCTCAGCTTTTAGCCAGGTACATTTCTATGGCGACGTATCCTTCAGACTAACCTGCTCTGGGGCAGGCTAACTCAAAACTAACTCAATTTATCCTGAATGAAGTGTCCAAGCCACGAGTTGAGGACCAATCAAATCAGATTCCCTCCCTCTCGTAAAGATTGCGTTATCATCCCTATTTGAGGAAGATGACCAATTAAATATTTACCAAATATTTTATTAATAAAATGTTTTTTTTTGGTGTAAAAATATAGTCATATTAAAACACCTATCACATTACACATTTAGTAATGATAGGATGCATTTGAAAGTTAACACACAGTAAAACTTTTGTATGACTTTATACAATTATTTGATCATAGGAGTGGAGAAAAAGTATTGTGTGCATTGATAAGCACATCAAAGACACCATTAACAATAGATATACAATAAAGACTGCTTCTTAAAGCCTCTTTCACACCGTAGCCTGCTGAATTTGCAAGATAACTTTTAATTCATGTTGATTTCGGTACAAATGTTTAATGTGTCTGACTCGCCCATGGATTGATGGTTCAGCATTGTCTCAACGAAGAGTTTGGCGCTGGACTAGCCACGTGCGACTCGCACGCACGGTTACAAGCCTGCTAGAGTTAGCGGCAGGCGGACGAGCAATATCCACCGTAGTCGTACGGATGAATCCTGTGCTGGAATGTGAAGTTAACTGAAGCTAGCTAATTTCAGAAAAGCCTGGGTACATCTAGCTACGTATGTAGCATGGCCCTCAGCTAGAGCATATTTACAGCCAGTAGGTGCAGCGGTTGGGGAAGCTGTAATAGAAATGTGCTGCTTGTACATATCAAAATAAGACAGGTGGAAGACTTAAACATTTCACATGGACATTCACACATTTTCGTTTTTTCAAAGCATTTCATTTTGAAAACGAAAGGGAGAGGGAGAGAGAGATGAGAGAGAGAGAGAGAGAGAGAGAGAGGGGAGAGCGAGAGGAAAAAAGAGAGAAGAGAGAGAGAGAAAAAAAGAGGAAAAAAAAGAAAAGGAGATGAGAGAAAAAAGAAGAGAAGAGAGCAGAGCGATAGAAGAGAAAGAGAGAGAACCTCTCGAAACTCTAGCGATATCTCTCTCTCTCTTTCTCTCTCCGTCTCTCTCCAATCTCCCTCTCTCTCCCTCTCTTTACTCTCATTTTTCCTCTCTTTCTCTCCCACCCACTATCTCTTTCTCCCTTGCTCTCTCTCTCCCACTCCCCCCACTCTCCCCCCTCTCTCCCTGTGTTTCTCTGTGATAGGAGAGAGAGGAGAGTGTTGGTTGGGTGGAATGTGGTTCCATGGTGGGTTTTTAAATAGCCCCCTGCCTGGACCAGCCAGCCCGTATAAGGCTGAAGCCAGAGCCAAGGCAGTGAAAACGCAACCGTTACAAAAGATAGGAGGGGGAGGGAATCATGATAATCAGTGTTAGATACAACCTCCCAGTAATACGTTGATGCTTTGTGTGTCAGAGAATAGAGACCTCACTGAACGTACCTGAGGTTGTTGTAAACAACATGTCAAATATACAACATCTAAACTAACTAGCTCAGGAGAGCTGGTCATACATAGTAATAATAATAATAATGTATTACATTTCTGTTGCACTTTTCATAGAATCTCAAAGCGCTTCAAAAACAAACAAGCAATATATCATGACAGGTCAACCAATAGAGGCCAAGTCTTTGAAAACTGCATCCTCCTACGATGGAGAGGATCAGTTCATGGCTTGAAAGTTAGTACACAGTACACAACCACACAGAGGTTTCCCTGACCAACTCTAAATCAAATCACATTTTATTTACCACATGCACCGAATACAACCTTACAGTGAAATGCTTACTTACAAGCCCTTAACCGATAATGGAGTTTTAAGAAAAATAAGTGGCTTGAGTGGAGCGAGCTGGTCAGAGGATGGTAGATGATGGTGATGGAGTCTGCTGATTGCAGAGGGCAAGTCTGGGAACCAGCCTGACTCGTATAGCCACTGGACTTCTCTTCCGCTCTGTGTAGCACCCAATTGGGTGAAGACTCAGCAGCACTGGGCGCCAGAAAGCTCCCCTCACAAAGTTCAGAAAATTAGCCAGTCGTATGTATGGTGCCCAGTGTGTTTCCTGTTCAGGTGATGACTAATGGGCTTGTAGGCATGCTGCCAGAACCAAATCTTGAGTGTGCTGGCCAGCTACTTAATCATTTGTGTTTTGATCAGTGTGTCATGAGAGACTCCTAGTTCCAGTCCTGTGTGTGAAGGAAACGTTCCTGGCCTTAAAGGACCAATCAGCAGTTGAAACAACAGCAGAGTGATCTGAGGGATTCATAGACAGAGCTATGGATGCATGGACTGAACATCCATGATATAAAAATGATAGTTTTAACCATGTTTTGAGGCTATACAGTGGTTGTTTACATTTACTTTGTTTACAAACTTTGGAGTAGAACAAGGTTATATTTTGGGTTCTGATGGGGTACGCCAGTAAACTATGCTCATGAGGCATTTATAAGTTATATTCTTCAAGAATCAATGGGTACATACTGTATCATTAATTTATAAGTCCAAAAATGGATGCAGTAACTACTGATTACCCCTTTAAATGGATACTCCCAGAAACAATCACATATGAAATGATATGATACAATTTGCTACGATACTTTTATTGTCCATTTCCATAGAAATTCATGTGTGTTTGTGTGTCTTGCTAACAGGATCCTGGTGGGGGCTCCGCGGGCCAGAGGACTGGGCGTGATGCGGAGGCAGCGCCCTGGCGCCCTGTACCGCTGTCCAATCACAGGCGAGGAGTTTGACTGCGAGCGTGTGGACATCGATGGAGACGTAAACCTCGACCAGGAAAGCAAGGACAACCAGTGGCTAGGAGTGACAGTCAAGAGCCAGGGGATTGGAGGAAAGGTGGTGGTTAGTACACAGTACACAACCACACAGAGGTTTCCCTGACCAACTCCAAATCAAATCAAATTGTATTTACCACATGCACCGAATACAACAGGTGTAGTAGACCTTACAGTGAAATGCTTACTTACAAGCCCTTAACCAACAATGCAGTTTTAAGAAAAATAAGTGCTAAGTAAAAAATAGATAACAAAAAATAAATTTTAATAAATAATTAAAGAGCAGCAGTAAAATAATAGTAGCGAAGCTGTATACAGGGGGTACCGGTACAGAGTCAATGTGCTGGGGGCACCGGTTAGTCGAGGTAATTACTTTACTATGTACATGTAGGTAGAGTTAAAGTGACTATGCATAGATAATGAACAGAGAATAGCAGCAGACTGCCTCTTGAAGGAAGGAAAATGTCAAAGCAACGCCCAAAAAGGGATTTGAACCCTCAGATTAAATGTCTGATGCTCTACCGACTGAGCTATCCTGGCTCTAACTTTACATATTGCAATACACCTCAACAGAGTAGCAGCAGCGTAAAATGCAAATAGTCCGGGTAGCTATTTGATTAGCTCTTCAGCAGTCTTATGGCTTGGGGGTAGAAGCTGTTAAGAAGCCTTTTGGACCTAGACTTGGTGCTCCGGTACCACTTGCCGGGCGGTAGCAGAGAGAACAATCTATGACTAGGGTGTCTGGAGTCTTTGACAATATTTAAGGCCTTCCTCTGACACCGCCTGGTATAGAGGTCCTGGATGGCAGGAGCTTGGCCCCTGTGATGTACTGGGCTGTACGCACTACCTTCTGTTGTGCCTTGCGGTCGGAGGCCGAGCAATTGCCATACCAGGCAGTGATGCAACCAGTCAGGATGCTCTCGATGGTGCAGCTGTAGAACTTTTTGAGGATCTGAGGACCCATGTCAAATATTTTCAGTCTCCTGAGGGGGAATAGGCTTTGTCCTCTTCACGACTGTCTTGGTGTGTTTGTACCATGATAGTTTGTTGGTGATGTGGACACCAAGGAACTTGAAGCTCTCAACCTGCTCCACTACAGCCCCGTCGATGAGAATGGGAGTGTGCTCGGTCGTCTTTTTCCTGTAGTCCACAATCATTTCCTTTGTCTTGATCACATTGAGGGAGAGGTTGTTATCCTGGCAACACACGACCAGGTCTCTGACCTCCACCCCATAGGCTGTCTCATCGTTGTCGGTGATCAGGCCTACCACTGTTGTGTCGTCAGCAAACTTAATGATAGTGTTGGAGTCGTGCCTGGCCAAGCTGGTAGAGCACGGCGCTTGTAACGCCAAGGTAGTGGGTTCGATCCCCGGGACCACCCATACACAAAAAAAAAATAAATGTATGCACGCATGTCTGTAAGTCGCTTTGGATAAAAGCGTCTGCTAAATGGCATATTATTATTATTATTATGCAGTCATGGGTGAACAGGGAGTACAGAAGGGGACTGAGCACGCACCCCTGAGGGCCCCCCCGTGTTGAGGATTAGCGTGGCAGATGTGTTATTACCTACCCTTACCACCTGGGGGCGGCCTGTCAGGAAGTCCAGGATCCAGTTGCAGAGGGAGGTGTTTAGTCCCAGGGTCCTTAGCTTAGTGATGAGCTTTGAGGGAACTATGGTGTTGAACACTGAGCTGTAGTCAATGAACAGCATTCTCACATACAGTGAGGAGAACAAGTATTTGATACACTGCCGATTTTGCAGATTTTCCCACTTACAAAGCATGTAGAGGTCTGTAATTTTTATCATAGGTACACTTCAACTGTGAGAGACGGAATCTAAAACAAAAATCCAGAAAATCATATTGTATGATTTTTAAGTAATTAATTTGCATTTTATTGCATGACATAAGTATTTGATCACCTACCAACCAGTAAGAATTCCGGCTCTCACAGACCTGTTCGTTTTTCTTTAAGAAGCCCTCCTGTTCTCCACTCATTACCTGTATTAACTGCACCTGTTTGAACTCGTTACTTGTATAAAAGACACCTGTCCACACACTCAATCAAACAGACTCCAACCTCTCCACAATGGCCAAGACCAGAGAGCTGTGTAAGGACATCAGGGATAAAATTGTAGACCTGCACAAGGCTGGGATGGGCTACAGGACAATAGGCAAGCAGCTTGGTGAGAAGGCAACAACTGTTGCCGCAATTATTAGAAAATGGAAGAAGTTCAAGATGACGGTCAATCACCCTCGGTCTGGGGCTCCATGCAAGATCTCACCTCGTGGGGCTTCAATGATCATGAGGAAGGTAAGGGATCAGCCCAGAACTACACGGCAGGACCTGGTCAATGACCTGAAGAGAGCTGGGACCACAGTCTCAAAGAAAACCATTAGTAACACACTACGCCGTCATGGCAAGGTCCCCCTGCTCAAGCCAGCCATTGTCCAGGCCCGTCTGAAGTTTGCCAATGACCATCTGGATGATCCAGAGGAGGAATGGAAGAATGTCATGTGGTCTGATGAGACAAAAATATAGCTTTTTGTCTAAACTCCACTCACCGTGTTTGGAGGAAGAAGAAGGATGAGTACAACCCCAACAACACCATCCCAACCGTGAAGCATGGAGGTGGAAATATCATTCTTTGGGGATGCTTTTCTGCAAAGGGGAAAGGACGACTGCACCATATTGAGGGGAGGATGGATGGGGCCATGTATCGCGAGATCTTGGCCAACAACCTCCTTCCCTCAGTAAGAGCATTGAAGATGGGTCGTGGCTGGGTCTTCCAGCATGACAACGACCCGAAACACACAACCAGGGCAACTAAGCAGTGGCTCCGTAAGAAGCATCTCAAGGTCCTGGAGTGGCCTAGCCAGTCTCCAGACCTGAACCGAATAGAAAATCTTTGGAGGGAGCTGAAAGTCCGTATTGCCCAGCGACAGCCCCGAAACCTGAAGGATCTGGAGAAGGTCTGTATGGAGGAGTGGGCCAAAATCCCTGCTGCAGTGTGTGCAAACCTGGTCAAGACTTACAGGAAACGTATGATCTCTGTAATTGCAAACAAAGGTTTCTGTACCAAATATTAAGTTCTGCTTTTCTGATGTATCAAATACTTATGTCATGCAATAAAATGCAAATTAATTACTTAAAAATCATACAATGTGATTTTATGGATTTGTGTTTTAGATTCCGTCTCTCACAGTTGAAGTGTACCTATGATAAAAAGTACAGACCTCTACATGCTTTGTAAGTAGGAAAATCTGCTAAAATCGGCAGTGTACCAAATACTTGTTCTCCACAATGTAGGTGTTCCTTTTGTCCAGGTGGGAAAGGGCAGTGTGGAGTGCTGTATAGATTTTATCATCTGTGGATCAGTTGGGGCGGTATGCAAATTGGAGTGGGTCTAAGGTTTCTTGGATAATGGTGTTGATGTGAGCCATGACCAGCCTTTCAAAGCACTTCATGGCTACAGACGTGAGTGCTACGGGTCGGTAGTCATTTAGGCAGGTTATCTTAGTGTTCTTGGGCACAGGGACTATGGTGGTCTGCTTGAAAAATGTAGGTATTACTGATTCAGTCAGGGACAGGTTGAAATGATGTCGTCCCTATAAGCTCGGATGCAGATGTTTCCCTGGTCAGTTTGAGTGGTTAGGATAGCGTTTTCCAAACTCGCCCTTGCACAACACAGCTGATTCAAATAATCGACTAATCATTAAGCTTTGGGCAAAAACCAAAAAGGGCACGTGCACCCCTTGGGGTAGCCAGGACCGAGTTTGGGAAACGCTGGGTTAGGAAACACTCATGTTTGTAGAATAGTCAACCATCTATTGTAGTTGTCTCAGTTATGCTGAGATTGTACTGTGGGACCTCTTCAATGAACCAGACCTGTGGGCTTCTTTAATGAACCAGACCTGTGGGACCTCTTCAATGAATCAGACCTGTGGGACCTCTTCAATGAACCAACCTGTGGGACCTCTTCAATGAACCAACCTGTGGGACCTCTTTAATGAATCAGACCTGTGGGACCTCTTCAATGAACCAGACCTGTGGGACCTCTTTAATGAATCAGACCTGTGGACCTCTTCAATGAACCAGACCTGTGGGACCTCTTCAATGAATCAGACCTGTGGGACCTCTTCAATGAATCAGACCTGCGGGACCTCTTCAATGATCCAGACCTGTGGGACCTCTTCAATGAACCAGATCTGTGGTACCTCTTTAATGAATCAGACCTGTGGGACCTCTTCAATGAATCAGACCTGTGGGACCTCTTCAATGAATCAGACCTGTGGGACCTCTTTAATGAATCAGACCTGTGGGACCTCTTCAATGAACCAGACCTGTGGGACCTCTTCACTGAACCAGACCTGTGCCCACCTGTACGAGTTGTGTTTAGCATGTCTGTAGTGAAGTAGACCATCTATTCCAGTTGCTTAGCTTCTCTTCTGCCTCTGTCCAAACCTATGGGACCTCTTCAATGAACCTACTACTATATACCTCTCCCGCCCCTTTTTCAGACGTGTGCCCACCTGTACGAGCTACGTCAGCGTGTGAGCCAGCCGTTGGAGACGCGAGACCCCATCGGGCGTTGCTACGTGCTCAGTGAGGACCTGACAGAGAGGGACGATCTGGATGGAGGGGAGTGGAAGTTCTGTGAGGGGCGACCCCAGGGACACGAACAGTTTGGCTTCTGTCAGCAGGGCCTGTCTGCCGCCTTCACACCTGACAACCAATATATCATGTTCGGAGCTCCTGGAACGTACAACTGGAAAGGTACGGTGACACACTTTTTAAAATTATCTCATTGAGACACACCTGTATAAATACAGGTTAAATAATGATGACTGACACCTGAGGTGTTTCAAATGATAGTTCACTCAAAAGTCAAAGCTTGTTGTGAGATGTTTTCAGACACTTAAAAGTGACAAGATAAGTCCACGTCTTATTGTGTCGATTCAGCTAATATATGCCTTTACTTTACTTACTGAATGGGGGAAAATATTTTGGCACTGTCTGAAAGAATGAAATTAGACTGAAAATATCTTATTGGAGGTTTTTTTGTCCGTTTTTCGCTTACAGTTGTCTTAGATGTAGAAGCATAGTGCAAAAAAACCAAAACAAAAACACATTCTGTTTACATAAAAAAAAATCTGTGGACAAATCATTGATTTATAAGCCAATCTACTGATTGGCCTCAGCAGTCCTACTGATCGATCAAAGTGATTGATTCCCAGCAGTTAGTTACTGGTCTGATGGATGGAACTGTCATTATTTAACGTCAGGGATCAATATGGCTGAAATTATGGACCACTGTATCATATATTAAACAGGCCTTAGGTAGAGTCACGATTTACATGATATGGTACTTGACATTTTCACTGTGGAACCCTAGAGATGGTGTACTTTGTCCTGTACTTATCTGTTTTGTATGTGTTTGTTGTGTATGTTTGAAAATGGAAGTGTGTGTTTGGCAATAGAGAGAGAGAGAGAGAGAGAGAGAGAGAGAGTGTTGCGAGTGGGTGTGTGTGAGAGAGAAAGAGACGAGAGAGAAGAGGAAGGGAGACAGAGAGAGAGAGAGAGAAGAGAGGGGGAGGGGAGAGAGAGGAGGGGGAGGGAGAGAGAGAGGGGAGGGAGGGAGGGCGAGAGGAGAGGGAGGGAGGGAGGGAGAGAGAGAGAGGGGGAGGGATGGAGGGAGAGATGAGAGAGAGGGAGGTGGGTATAGTCAAATTCAGCTCAACTTATGATTTATTATTCCTTGGTCATGATGCTTAAAACGACGGTCCAAAAACATGAAAACAGAACTACACAATAGGAACGAATTCAAGTGCTATAGCTACACATTTAAAGTGAAACGTGCCAATTAGCTGTATAATGGAGGGACCCCAACCAGACTATCTATTCATACCGCCTAATTGGGCTGTTGGAATCAAACCGGTCACCCATATCTATCAGTTTTAATTTTCTTTTGAAGAAGTCTCTTTCCCCTTGTCCGGCTGCTGCTGTGACTGAGTTTTGAGTGAAGGGGATGGGTACTGTCCTGTAAAATGCTGTCAAGTTTTAGGAAGATGAGTTTTGTGTACAGGTTGGTGGCTGATTCTTGATCTATACCAATTATCCTTCCCGCCGTCTTAATCAAGCGCTGAAGCTTGACTTGGTCTCGCATGTTTCTGAACACGCATATCAGACCAAAGGACAGCACACTCTGCAGGACAGATTTATAGAACATTTGTAAGATATGGCGGTCGACATTAAAATGGTTCAGTTTATGTAAAAAAACATTCTCTGTTGCAATTTCTTTATCTTTGCAAAGGCACAGTCATTGAATTTCAGTTTATTGTCTATTTCGATTCCCAGGTACTTACAGTATATGTGGTCACTCTATCGACTGAGTCCCTATTGATCTTTGTAGGGGGTAATGGAGTTTTATTCCTTCTGAAATTAAGAGAGGGAGAGAGATAGAGAGGAAGAGAGAAAGAGGGAGAGAGGATAGAGGGAGGAGAGAGAAGAGAGAGAGAAGAGAGATAGAGAGAAAGAGGGAGAGAGATAGAGAGGAAGAGAGAAAGAGATAGAGGGAGGAGAGAGGAGAGAGAGAGAGAGAGAGAGAGGAGAGAGAGAGAGAGAGAGAGAGAAAGAGGGAGAGAGATAGAGGGAGGTTGAGAGAAAGAGGAGAGAGAGAGAGAGAGAGAAAGAGGGAGAGAGCGAATGTGTATCTGTGTCTGTCTGTGTGTCTGTGTGTGTGTCTGAGTGTCTGTGTCCTCTAACTCTGTTCCTTCCAGGAGAGATGCGTGTCCAGCTACTAAACCAGACTCTACTGGATCTGGGTTTCTATGACGACGGGCCCTATGAGGTGGCGGATGAGAAACAGCTGAATGCTCAGCTGATCCCTGTTCCCTACCATAGTTACCTGGGTAGGACCGACCGTCCCTGCCCAGCCCTCTCCTGCTCCTCTCACACAGCTGTCTGCCTGCTGCCCTGTCTCACCAGAGATCACTGAGCACTGCACAGGACAGGACAGGAGAGGGGCAGGGAAGGACAACAACAACAGACTGACGACACACTGTACTCAAAATAAATACATATCCCAGACCTAGAGGACCCAGAGTAGCTACTAAGAGGGCTCTAGAAAGGCAGACAGGCCTAGTCTAAACTGGCCCAGGGCAGTGCGGTGCAGACAAGAGCCACTGGTCAAAAGTAGTGGACTAGATAAAGAACAGGGTGGCATTTCAGACACACCCTAGTACTGTTTCTCTGTTTCTCCCGTGTCCGTAGGGTCCATCCCTGACCCTGGTCTGTTATGAGGGAGTGGGACTCACGTAGGGTCCATCCCTGACCCTGGTCTGTTATGAGGGAGTGTGACTCACGTAGGGTCCATCCCTGACCCTGGTCTGTTATGAGGGAGTGTGACTCACCAGAGCTAAAACCAGACAGCTCCACTCGGAATAATCTCCCACATGAAGTAGCTACCGTAGGAATGGACCAATCATGATAGAAATATCCTCAGACATGCAGAGAGACTCTGTGCACTGCGGTTGCCAACGGGAAAATACCTTTCCTAACTGCTGGGGTCAGAAATATTACAATATTATAATAGGCTACTTAAGAGGAATATTATTATCTCACAGTCATCATGGCCTGTTATAGCCTGGTCCAAGATCTGCTTGTAATAATATAATTATAATATAATAAAATATAGTCTACTATATATGCAACTTGTACTTTAGTAGCAAATTGCTGTCATGTCATACAGAAATTGGCTAAAAAGCACAAATAGGTCTGGGACCAGTCTATAGAACATAGTCAAATTAGTTGTCTAAAGACACAAACAGATCTGGGACCAGCTTATATCATAGTCAAAGGAGTTGTCTAAAGGAGTTGTCTAAAGGAACAAACAGATCTCGGACCAGGCTATAAAACATAGATAATTTGGCTAAACATTACAAACTGATCTGTGACCAGGCTAGGTCTGTCTGTTCTGGGAGTCAGTGGGTTTGCGTTTCCCCCACAGACAGTTCTGGCCGTGCATTCTGGGTACAGCGTGAGTCAGTCTTGTCGTCCTTCTGTTAGGTACCAGTGGTTTACCCACAAACCACTGTGATACCAGGAAGAAGAAAACACACAATCACAGCACAGTCCTTTCTCACCTGCACTCCCTCTCTCTCTCCTTGTCACCCTGTTCCCCTTCACCACCTCCCCTCCACTCCTCCACTCCTCCACTCCCCCCCCCCTCTCTCTTCCTCTCTCTCGGGCCACAGGGCTCTTGTTCATGGCTAGTCCCGATGAAGATGCCCTGGTGTACAAAACTCTGGAGCCACACTCCAACCGGCCCATGTTTGAGGACGTAGCTCAGAATAGCTACTTAGGTTTGTAGCTTGGAGTGAGGTGTTGTTTGTTTGAACAAACCAGATTCATGTTGATACAACTTACTGTAGACTTACCCTACTTTCCTCCAGGGTTGGGGTCAATTCCATTTCACTGCCAGTCAATTCAGAATGTAAACCAAATTCCAATTCCAAATTGTCCGCATTGAAAAGCATTGAAGATAATTGGAATTTCAGTGTACTTCCTGAGTTGATTGGAATGGAATTAACCCCAACCCTGCTGTCCTCCCACCTTACCCCCGTGTGTTGGTGTGTGCTCGGTGCTAGCTCTTCTCTAGAACGTGTTTAGAACGTACGTAGATTAGAACGTAGGACTCCGACTGGTCTGCATGTCTCTCTGTGTTCCTATCAGTCTGTACTGTCTGTCAGTCTGTATGGTGGGGTGGTCTGCACAGCCTGTCAGTCTGTCAGTCTGTATGGTGGGGTGGTCTGTACTGTCTGTCAGTCTGTATGGTTGGGGTGGTCTGCACAGCCTGTCAGTCTGTCAGTCTGTATGGTGGGGTGGTCTGCACAGCCTGTCAGTCTGTCAGTCTGTATGGTTGGGGTGGTCTGTACTGTCTGTCAGTCTGTATGGTTGGGGTGGTCTGCACAGCCTGTCAGTCTGTCAGTCTGTATGGTTGGGGTGGTCTGTACTGTCTGTCAGTCTGTATGGTGGGGTGGTCTGCACAGCCTGTCAGTCTGTCAGTCTGTATGGTTGGGGTGGTCTGCACAGCCTGTCAGTCTGTCAGTCTGTATGGTTGGGGTGGTCTGCACAGCCTGTCAGTCTGTATGGTGGGGTGGTCTGCACAGCCTGTCAGTCTGTCAGTCTGTATGGTTGGGGTGGTCTGCACAGCCTGTCAGTCTGTCAGTCTGTATGGTGGGGCTGTCTGCACAGCCTGTCAGTCTGGACTTTACTCAATGGTGTGGCGGGTTGAAGCTGTCCAGGGTACCTTGGTGGTGGTTCTATATACAGTACATCTATATCTACATTCTTATCTACATTTTGTAGATACAGGTAACTTTGCTAATTACAATAAAGGGGTTTGAAGTGAAATAACAAAGTAAGTAAAGCAGAGTTTATAAACAAATCTCACAGGTGAACAAAGTATTCTGAGATCACCATGGTAATCATCCATGGAGGATTTCTGTGTAGAAAGACAATACCAACACTGACATGTACAGTATCTCTGTATCTCAAAGACGGCTCTCGCAGGGTAGATCCCATGGGGAACAGAGTGTTTACAATCTGCGTTCTAGTGCATAGTTTAGAGCAGTCCTCTCCTTGGAGCTGAGCGACATCTCTCTCATTGATAATAGATACTTCCTCATTCCCATTTTAGATCCAGCTAATGGACTCTAACCAATAACGGTTTGGTCCGTCCGATTGATTGTTCCCATCAAATCTCTCTATTCTCATCCTCCTGTACACAGAAACCGGAATGCGTCCCAAACGGCACCTAATTCCCTATATACAGTACAGTGCACTGTGGGTCCTATAGGCCCTGGTGAAAAGTAGTGCACTATGAAGAGAATAGGGTTCCATTTGGGACAGAGCCTGCCTTATCCCTCTTCCTCCACATCCTTAATGGCCATTATTACCTTTGACCCCTCACTTATAACTCGCAGCATGCCTCCACTGACCCTCTAACCAAATGACATAATGACTAAATGCATATGTTTTGCACGCTTACTAAAAGGCCACAGACAGACAGTATTGCTATTACTGGTATTTTTTTTTTTAGTTTAGTTAAATACAGAACTAAATTAAATCCAAATTAAAGCCAAATTAAATGCAGAATTAAATGTAGAGGAATTTCACCACAGTGTGTTGTCATCTTTATCTCTGACTGACATCACATGGGATTCTACTTAGCTTTACTGATGTATACAATGTCTAATGTAACTGTATAATATACTAATAGTATGATATCCTTTATAGTCCAGGAATTCCGGGAAACTAGCCCAGTATGCATTGTATTATTATATTATGTCTAATGGAGATTTCTCCAATAAAATTATCTCTTAGTCCAGGACTAGGCTTGATATGTGTCCGGGAAACTGGTCCCTAATGTCTTAAAATGTAAATAGCTCGTTGTAAATGTAAATAGCTTATAATTAAATCCAGTCTCTCGACCCAGTGAACCAGTCAGGACCCGGCAGCAGCCTAGTTCATGCTGTTTCTCCTCAGATCGTGTCCATTAAATCTGATTACTGTTGGACAGAGAACCCAGCGCAGTCCACCGATGAGTCAGGCCCAGTTTTTCCACAGTAACTGCCAATATAAATACAGCCAATGAAAAATGAAATGTTCAAATTCTTCCAATTTGTCTCACACGATTTTCCGTTGACAGAAAATCCCACTGAGAACTACTGATCAGAGATGAGTTAAAGTAGTTACAATATATTTAGATCCATTTATATCAATTGAGCTTTTATTTGATTCTAGGGCTCGGTAGCTTTTTTAACACATAGTCTTACAACTACACTGTAGACAGCTGCACAACACAACTGTTTGCAGGGGCCCCATTTCTGAACCTGGTGGGCCACATTCGGTTTAAAAAAGGTTGCAGGATAAAGCCTCGGTTCCCTTTATAGCTTTACAGAGCAAATTGGACTTCTTTGTGTAAAAAACAGAGAGGATCAGACTTCTGTGTAAAAGAGAAAAGTAGCTCCTCCCTCTTTGAAAGGCCTCCGTTTTAAAATGTAGCTTCATCTATCTATCTCTTAATAAAGGCCTTAGTTAGTTTTACTGGATCACAACTCTAACTGTAGCGTTCATCTTAAAGGGACACACTTTTACTGGATCCCAACTCTAACTGTAGCGTTCATCTTAAAGGGACACAGTTTTACTGGATCACAACTCTAACTGTAGCGTTCATCTTAAAGGGACACAGTTTTACTGGATCACAACTCTAACTGTAGCGTTCATCTTAAAGGGACACAGTTTTACTGGATCACAACTCTAACTGTAGCGTTCATCTTAAAGGGACACAGTTTTACTGGATCACAACTCTAACTGTAGCGTTCATCTTAAAGGGGCACAAATACATTTTACTGGGTTTGATGTGACTTTTGCGTGAAAGGACAAATTAGCTCATCCCTCTCTTAAAGGCCTAGTTTGTGATATTTACGGACGTTTTCTCTTAATCTCTTAAAGGCCTACAGTTTTACTGGATCACATGTCCAACTGTAGCATTCCTCTTAAAGGGACACAGTTCTGTTAGTTACTTGTTCTACAGTAAGTCAGACAGCAGAATTCCACAACTGTTGTCCTGGAGCTCCTAAACAATGCAGAAAACCTACCAGACAACTGTCTGCTGACCCACATTTTAGTAATTTAGCAGACATTCTTATCCAGAGCAACCAGTAATTACCTTGCTCAAGCGCACATCAACATATTTTTCACCTAATCAGCTCTTGAATTTGAACCAGCAACCTTTCAATTACTGGCCTAACGTTCTTAACCGCTAGGCCACCTGTTCTCTCAAGACAAATTTGTAAACTAGTTATGATTCTCAAGCTGTTTAACTATTTGACCAGACTAATGTATTCAGCAACCTAGACCACAGAGGCTGCCACAGTAGTGCAGCCAACCTTTAGGTCATTCCGCACCTGTCGTCCTGAACTGCTCCGTGTCCGTCTCTGTTTGTCTCTCTGTATGTTTGTCTAGAGGATAGTATTTGTCTGTCACTCTTTTAAAAAATAATAGTATTTGTCTGTCTCTGTGTTTGTCTATGAGACGCTTCTGCCTGAATGTTGACACTGTTAAATGTTAAAACAAGACTCCTTGCAATCCCTCCTCTCACACCCCGCATGTTGGAAAATACTGTAGCTGTTTAGTGTGTTTGCCTTTGGGTTGTTTCATTGTGAATTAAATTACACACACACACACACACACACACACACACAGACACACACACACACACACACACAGACACACACACACGCACGCACGCACGCACGCACGCACGCACACACACACACACACACACACACACACACACACACACACACACACACACACACACACACACACACACACACACACACACACACACACACACACACACACACACACACACACACACACACACACACACAACTGCTACTAACTGTTATCCCATAATGCCTTGCTCCAGGCTTCTCAGTGGACTCTGCTAAGGGCATAATGAGTCGTGGCGAGCTGACCTTTGTGGCGGGGGCTCCGAGAGCCAATCACACAGGAGCGGTGGTGCTGCTGCGTAAAGACAACGTGTACCGCCTGGTGCCACAGCACATCCTGTGGGGAGAGGAACTGGCTTCTTCCTTTGGCTACTCTGTGGCTACGGCTGATCTCAACAGTGACGGGTGAGAACTAATGCATATGTCTGCTGCTGATACTATTGATAGCAGTGTATGGGAATGTATGGAATGTACAGACAGATACTCTGTGGCCATGGCTCAACAGTGAGGGCTGAGTAATGTTGCACATTTCCAGAAAATTCCCAGTTCCCATGTTTTCAGAAATCCCAGTTGGAAGTTTTCCGGAATTAGGTAGGAATATGAACGGATGGAATCCCATAACTGGGAATACTCTGACCAGGATTTGTGAAGAACCTGGAAACCATTTAGGGAAATTATTTCAGTGACGGATGTTTACATTTGTATCCATCATCTTCTTGTTTCAACCCAAGATTCTGTAGAGCTCTATCTGAACCTCCCTCCCTCCCTCCCTCCCTCCCTCCCTCCCTCCCTCCCTCCCTCCTTCCTTCCTTCCTTCCTTCCTTGTTCTCCCCCCCCCAGCTGGACAGACCTGATAGTGGGAGCTCCTAACTACTTTGACAGGAAAGCAGATATCGGAGGTGCTGTGTACGTCTTCCTCAACCCATTCGGTAACTGGGAGTATGCTCGGCCAATCAGGCTCAACGGAACCTATGACTCCATGTTTGGATTGACCGTCAACAATGTGGGAGACTTGGACAGGGACGGATATGATGGTGAGGAAGGATCAAATCAAATCAAAACTTGATTTAAACGACATTCACATTACAGTCGACTGCACTGAAGGGACTGAGGGGTCTGAGTCACTCGTCACATCCTAAATGGCACCCTATTCCCTATGTAGTGCACTACTTTTGGCCATTTGGCACGCAAGTCTATTGTCCTTAGGGTCAGGAGTTTTCCTGATCAATTTATGTGAGAGAAAACAAGATCCTGCACACTGCAGTTACCAGTACTACTGTTCATTACACACACACACACACACACACACACACACACACACACACACACACACACACACACACACACACACACACACACACACACACACACTACTGATATGATGTCTTGCTCCAGGTTGAGCTCCAGCAGGTGAATGTAAAACTGAAAGTAAAAGTCCAGGTGACCTGAGCAAGTAACCCTCTTGACTAGCGTCACAATAAATTCTCTGGTTTTCCCGAATTCCCGGAATCAGGTGATAATGAGTTCCAGAATTTATTTAAAGTTTCCATAATTTTACAACCCTACTCCTGACCCTACAAAAGACAATGTCTGAATGAGGCTTAGTATAGTTGATATGTAATGTGTCTGTCTCTCTCCATCCAGACATTGCTGTGGGGGCTCCGTTCGATGGAGATGGCAAAGTGTTCATCTACCGAGGCTCATCCTCAGGCATCGATACCAAGCCTGCACAGGTGAAAAGAACCTTTAGAAAAGCTCGTTGCTCATCACATCATGATTATTCACTGAGTGCAAAAAACATTAGGAACACCTTCCTAATATTGAGTTGCACCCCCTTTTGCCCTCAGAACAGCCTCAATTCCTCGGGGCATGGCCTCTACAAGGTGTTGAAAGCGTTCCACAGGGATGCTGGCCCATGTTGACTGCAATGCTTTCCACAGTTGTCAAGTTGGCTGGATGTCCTTTGGGTGGTGGGCCACTGTTGATACAAACAGGAAGCTGTTGAGCGTGAAAAACCCAGCAGCGTTGCAGTTCTTGACACACTCAAAACAGTGCGCCTGGCACCTACTACCATACCCCATTCCAAGGCACTTAAATATTTTGTCTTGCCCATTCACCCTCTGAATGGCACACATACATAATTCATGTCTCAATTGTCTCAAGGCTTAGAAATCCTTCTTTAACCTGTCTCATCCCTTCATCTACACTGATTGAAGTGGATTTAACAAGTGACATGAATAAGGGATCATAGTTTTCACCTGGATTCACCTGGTCAGTCTATAACATGGAATTGTAATGTTTTGATATACTATAATATGAGATGACCGTTTATATATATATATATACAATACCAGTCAAAAGTTTGGACACACCTACTCATTCAAGGGTTTTTCTTCATTTGTACTATTTTCTACATTGTAGAATAATAGTGAAGACATCAAAACTATGAAATAACACATATGGAATCATGTAGTAACCAAAACAGTGTTAAACAAATCAAAATATAGTGCTCAGCATATGTGGGAACTCCTTCAAGACTGTTGGAAAAGCATTCCAGGTGAAACTGGTTGAGAGAATGCAAGAGTGTGCAAAGCTGTCATCAAGGCAAAGGGTGGCTACTTTGAAGAATCTAAAATCAAAAATGTATTTTGATTTGTTTAACACTTTTTTGGTTACTATATGATTCCATATGTGTTATTTCATAGTTTTGATGTCTTCACTATTATTCTGCAATGTGGAAAATAGTACAAATAAAGAAAAACCTTTAAATGAGTAGGTGTGTCCAAACTTTTGACTGGTACTGTATGAACAAGTGCCTTCGGAAAGTATTCAGACCCCTTGACTTTTTCCACATTTTGTTAGGTTATGGCCTTATTCTAAAATGGATTAAAATGTTTTTCCCCCCTCATCAATACACAATACACTATAATGACAAAGAAAAAACTGGTTTTTCGAAAAAGTATTCAGACCCTTTACTCAGTACTTTGTTGAAGCACCTTTGGCAATGATTACAGCCTCGAGTCTTCTTGGGTGTGACGCTACAAGCTTGGCACACCTGTATTTGGGGAGTTTCTCCCATTCTTCTCTGCAGATTCCTCAAGCTCTGTCAGGTTGGATGGGGAGCATTGCTGCACAGCTATTTGCAGTTCTCTCCAGAGATGCTCGATCGGGTTCAAGTCCGGGCTCTGGCTGGGCCACTCAAGGACATTCAGAGACTTGTCCCGAAGCCACTCCTGCATTGTCTTCGCTGTGTGCTTAGGGTCGTTGTCTTGTCGGAAGGTGAACCTTCGCCCCAGTCTGAGGTCCTGAGCGTTCTGTACTTTGCTCCGTTCATCTTTCCCTCGATCCTGACTAGTCTCCCAGTCCCTGCTGCTGAAAATTGTCCCCACAGCATGTCTCTTGAGTGGCGCAGTGGTCTAAGGCACTGCATTGCAGTGCTAGCTGTGCCACTAGAGATCCTGGTTTGAATCTAGGCTCTGTCGTAGCCGGCCGCGACCGGGAGACCCATGGGGCGGCGCACAATTGGCCCAGCGTCGTCCAGGGTAGGGGAAGGAATGGCCAGCAGGGATGTAGCTCAGTTGGTAGAGCATGGCGTTTGCAACGCCAGGGTTGTGGGTTCGTTTCCCACGGGGGGCCAGTATGAAAAAAATTAATAAAATGTATGCACTCACTAACTGTAAGTCGCTCTGGATAAGAGCATCTGCTAAATGACTAAAATGTAAATGTAATGATGCTGCCACCACCATGCTTCACTGTAGGGATGGTGCCAGGTTTCCTCCAGATGTGACGCTTGGCATTCAGGCCAAATCTTCAATTCAATTTTGGTTTCATCAGACCAGAGAATCTTGTTTCTCATGGTCTAAGAGTCTTTAGGTGCCTTTTGGCAAACTCCAAGCGGGCTGTCATGTGCCTTTTACTGAGGAGTGGCTTCAGTCTGGCCACTCTACCATAAAGGCCTGATTGGTGGAGTGCTGCAGAGATGGTTGTCCTGGAAGGTTCTCCCATCTCCACAGAGGAACTCTAGAGCTCTGTCAGAGTGACCATCGGGTCACCTCCCTGACCAAGGCCCTTCTCCCCCAATTGCTCAGTTTGGCCGGGTGGCCAGCTCTAGGAAGAGTCTTGGTGGTTCCAAAATTATTCAGTTTAAGAATGATGGAGGCCACTGTGTTCTTGGGGACCTTCAATGCTGCAGAAATGTTTTGGTACTGTTCCTGAGATCTGTGCCTTGACACAATCCTGTCTCGGAGCGCTATTGTCAATTCGAACTCATGGCTTGGTTTTTGGTCAACTGTGGGACCTTATATAGACCGGGTGTGTGCCTTTCCAAATCATGTCCAATCAATTGAATTAACCACAGGTGGACTCCAATCAAGTTGTGGAAACATCTCAAGGATGGTCAATGAAAACAGGATGCACCTGAGCTCAATTTCGAGTCTCATAGCAAAGGGTCTGAATACTTCTGTAAATAAGGTATTTTGTTTTTAATTTTTAATAAATGTGCAACAACTTCTAAAAACCTGTTTTTCTTAGTCATTATGGGGTATTGTGTGTAGATTGCTGAGGAAATTGTTTTATTTAATCAATTTTAAAATAAGGCTGTAATGTAACAAAATGTGAAAAAAGTCAAGGGGTCTGAATACTTTTCGAAGGCACTGTATGTGAGGGAAAAAAGTATTTGATCCCCTGCTGCTTTTGTATGTTTGCCCACTGACAAAGAAATGATCAGTCTATAATTTTAATGGTAGGTTTATTTGAACAGTGAGAGACAGAATGACAACAAAAAATCCAGAAAAACGCATGTCAAAAATATTATAAATTGATTTGCATTTTAATGAGGGAAATAAGTATTTCACCCCCTCTCAATCAGAAAGATTTCTGGCTCCCAGGTGTCTTTTATACAGGTAACGAGCTGAGATTAGGAGCACACTCTTAAAGGGAGTGCTCCTAATCTCAGCTTGTTCACTGTATGAAAGACACCTGTCCACAGAAGCAATCAATCAATCAGATTCCAAACTCTCCACCATGGCCAAGACCAAAGAGCTCTCCAAGGATGTCAGGGACAAGATTGTAGACCTACACAAGGCTGGAATGGGCTACAAGACCATCGCCAAGCAGCTTGGTGAGAAGGTGACAACAGTTGGTGCGATTATTCGCAAATGGAAGAAACACAAAATAACTGTCAATCTCCCTCGGCCTGGGGCTCCATGCAAGATCTCACCTCGTGGAGTTGCAATGATCATGAGAACGGTGAGGAATCAGCCCAGAACTACACGGGAGGATCTTGTCAATGATCTCAAGGCAGCTGGGACCATAGTCACCAAGAAAACAATTGGAAACACACTACGCCGTGAAGGACTGAAATCCTGCAGCGCCCGCAAGGTGCCCCTGCTCAAGAAAGCACACATACAGGGCCATCTGAAGTTTGCCAATGAACATCTGAATGATTCAGAGGAGAGATGGGTGAAAGTGTTGTGGTCAGATGAGACCAAAATCGAGCTCTTTGGCATCAACTCAACTCGCCGTGTTTGGAGGAGGAGGAATGCTGCCTATGACCCCAAGAACACCATCCCCACCGTCAACCATGGAGGTGGAAACATTATGCTTTGGAGGTGTTTTTCTGCTAAGGGGACAGGACAACTTCACCGCATCAAAGGGATGATGGACAGGGCCATGTACCGTCAAATCTTGGGTGAGAACCTCCTTCCCTCAGCCAAGGCATTGAAAATGGGTCGTGGATGGGTATTCCAGCATGACAATGACCCAAAACACACGGCCAAGGCAACAAAGGAGTGGCTCAAAAAGAAGCACATTAAGGTCCTGGAGTGGCCTAGCCAATCTCCACACCTAAAACCCATAGAAAATCTGTGGACGGAGCTGAAGGTTCGAGTTGCCAAACGTCAGCCTCGAAACCTTAATGACTTGGAGAAGATCTGCAAAGAGGAGTGGAACAAAATCCCTCCTGAGATGTGTGCAAACCTGGTGACCAACTACAAGAAACGTCTGACCTCTGTGATTGCCAACAAGGGTTTTGCCACCAAGTACTAAGTCATGTTTTGCAGAGGGGTCAAATACTTATTTCCCTCATTAAAATCCAAATCAATTTATAACATTTTTTACATGCGTTTTTCTGGATTTTTTTGTTGTTATTCTGTCTCTCACTGTTCAAATAAACCTACCATTAAAATTATAGACTTATCATGTCTTTGTCAGTGGGCAAACGTACAAAATCAGCAGGGGATCAAATACTTTTTTCCCTCACTGTATATATATATATACACTGCTCAAAAAAATAAAGGGAACACTTAAACAACACATCCTAGATCTGAATGAATGAAATAATAATTTTCTTTTTACATAGTTGAATGTGCTGACAACAAAATCACACAAAAATGATCAATGGAAATCAAATTTATCAACCCATGGAGGTCTGGATTTGGAGTCACCCTCAAAATTAAAGTGGAAAACCACACTACAGGTTGATCCAACTTTGATGTATTGTCCTTAAAACAAGTCAAAATGAGGCTCAGTAGTGTGTGTGGCCTCCACGTGCCTGTATGACCTCCCTACAACGCCTGGGCATGCTCCTGATGAGGTGGCGGATGGTCTCCTGAGGGATCTCGTCCCAGACCTGGACTAAAGCATCCGCCAACTCCTGGACAGTCTGTGGTGCAACGTGGTGTTGGTGGATGGAGCGAGACATGATGTCCCAGATGTACTCAATTGGATTCAGGTCTGGGGAACGGGCGGGCCAGTCCACAGCATCAATGCCTTCCTCTTGCAGGAACTGCTGACACACTCCAGCCACATGAGGTCTAGCATTGTCTTGCATTAGGAGGAACCCAGGGCCAACCGCACCAGCATATGGTCTCACAAGGGGTCTGAGGATCTCATGTGGCTGGAGTGTGTCACCATCGCGAGCATCCTGACTGGTTTCATCACCGCCTGGTATGGCAACTGCTCGGCCTCCGACCGCAAGGCAGTACAAAGGGTATTGCGTACGGCCCAGTACATCACTGGGGCCAAGCTTCCTGCCATCCAGGACCTCTATACCAGGTGGTGTCAGAGGAAGGCCCTAAGAATTGTCAAAGACTCCAGCCACCCTAGTCATAGACTGTTCTCTCTGCTACCGTACGGCAAGCGGTACCGGAGCGCCAAGTCTAGGTCGAAAAGGCTTCTTAACAGCTTCAGCCCCATAGCCATAAGACTCCTGAACAGCTAATCATGGCTACCCGGACTATTTGCATTTTATGCTGTTGCTACTCTGTTTATCATTTATGCATGTTCACTTTAACTCTACCCACATGTACATTGGCCCAGCGTCGTCCAGGGTAGGGGAGGGAATGGCCGGCAGGGATGTAGCTCAGTTGGTAGAGCATGGCGTTTGCAACGCCAGGGTTGTGAGTTCGATTCCCACGGGGGGGGGGGGGGCAGTATGTAAAATAAAAAATGATGTATGCACTCACTAACTGTAAGTCGCTCTGGATAAGAGCGTCTGCTAAATGACTAAAATGTAAATGTAAATGTTTTGACCGGTAGTGTAGAAACACCAGATTTTTGGTTTGAAAAAAAAAAGGTATATTAATTCTGAAATTCTGAAGAATATTATTAACATTCCACCCATGAGGCCACTATAGGGTGATTTGGTACTTTGACTGCAGGAAAGGGCTACACATTAAAAATTGGAAACTTTAGTAGAAACTTGTGTATACAAAATTATACAAATATTACGTTTTTGTAAGTGGTGTCTCATCATATCAGAATCAAAGCCTCAACTCTGGTGTTGCAAACTTCATGGTGGTCATATTGCTAACTCTCAATAACGACGATGTGGTTCAAGTTCAACTAAGTTTACTGACTGATAACATCACACCCTAATTGCAGGTGTATAGGACTACCTGAATAGTAATTTCAGGTGTAAAGTTGCACTTGATCATACAAGTTAACACATGATCTTCATGATTGCCCCTCACAGATCCTGGATGGAGTGGACGAGGGGGTGAAGAGGTTTGGCTACTCCATCTCAGGAGGCCTGGACATCGATGGGAACCTGTACCCTGACCTGGCAGTAGGCTCTCTCGGTGATAAGCTAGTTCTGTACAGGTCTCGCCCAGTCATTCATGTGATCCGGGATGTATCCATCGAACCTCAGCAGTATATTGACTTGGAGCAACACAACTGCAAGGGGAGAGATGGAGTTTGGTAGGTCGCAAATAACATTAATTTCAACCTTTATTCACATTAGGTAGTGTATTTCTGCTGTTGACAGATTGTTGTTCGCTAACTTTATTCTCTGTTTTCAGTGTGGAGGTCAAAGCCTGCTTCACCTATACTGCTTATCCTGAGACCTACTCACCAGACATCAGTGAGTTACTAAACTGTACACCTCTCTGTTTAGAACCAGTTGGTTTTTGCTGTGTAAAATAGTGTGGTAATATGTCCAGCTGTGTTAAATAGTGTGGTAATATGTCCAGCTGTGTTAAATAGTGTGGTAACATGTCCAGCTGTGTAAAATAGTGTGGTAATATGTCCAGCTGTGTAAAATAGTGTGGTAATTTGTCCAGCTGTGTTAAATCGTGTGGTAATTTGTCCAGCTGTGTTAAGTAGTGTGGTAATTTGTCCAGCTGTGTTAAATAGTGTGGTAATATGTCCAGCTGTGTTAAATAGTGTGGTAATATGTCCAGCTGTGTTAAATAGTGTGGTAATATGTCCAGCTGTGTTAAATAGTGTGGTAACATGTCCAGCTGTGTTAAATAGTGTGGTAATATGTCCAGTAGCTTATCTCTGGTGTGTTGTAGTGCTGCATTTCTCTGACTCTTCTTCTCTTTCTCTTTCTCTTTCTCTTTCTCTTTCTCTTTCTCTTTCTCTTTCTCTTTCTCTTTCCCTTCCTTCCTTCCTTCCTTCCTTCCTTCCTTCCTTCCTTCCTTCCTTCCTTCCTTCCTTCCTTCCTTCCTTCCTTCCTTCCTTCCTTCCTTCCTTCCTTCCTTCCTTCCTTCCTTCCTTCCTTCCTTCCTTCCCTCCCTCCCTCCCACTAGCTCTGGTCCTACTCATTGAGGCTGACACCGAGCGCAGGAAGCTGGGCCTGCCCCACCGTGTTAGCTTCCTGGGTCAAAGTGCACAGGCGGCGGAGTACACACACACTGACGAGGTGGAGCTGAAGGGTCAACGTCATCCCGCCTGCCAGAGCGCCACCTTCCAACTAAACGTACAGTACAATATGACGCAGTCATTTGATCTGGAAGACACACAGGAGGCGTTACAGAGTACAACTGCAGAACATATCAAATACTTTTTCTTGGTTGGAGCACTATGCAACATGAAAAAGGGTAAAGTGAAGTGTTCAGTTCTCTCAGTGCTCTCTATCGCCCCCTACATGCAGCTGCATAGTGTTCCAACCCTGTGAAGAAATGGTATTTGAGATGTGCTTTATCTAGCTAAACTGGCATAATCGAACAATTTATTAATTGTCTTAGTTGAATGAAAAAAAGTATTATTTCCTTCCAACTCCAATATCATATGATCCCGTTTAGTAATCTTTTAATTATTTCCCATTCAGGAGAATATCCGTGACAAGCTGCGTCCCATCTCTCTGGCCATCACCCATACCATCAGACCCCCCATGTTCTCCTCAGACACTAACCCAGAGGAACGAGACACGCTACCTCCTGTACTGAGTGTTGCCACCTCCAACACCCTGCACTCTGAGGTCAGTACCTCGACCTCCTGTACTAAGTGTTGCCACCTCCAACACCCTGCACTCTGAGGTCAGTACCTCGACCTCCTGTACTGAGTGTTGCCACCTCCAACACCCTGTACTCTGAGGTCAGTACCTCGACCTCCTGTACTGAGTGTTGCCATCTCCAACACCCTGCACTCTGAGGTCAGTACCTCGACCTCCTGTACTGAGTGTTGCCATCTCCAACACCCTGCACTCTGAGGTCAGTACCTCGACCTCCTGTACTGAGTGTTGCCACCTCCAACACCCTGCACTCTGAGGTCAGTACCTCGACCTCCTGTACTAAATGTTGCCACCTCCAACACCCTGTACTCTGAGGTCAGTACCATAACAACAGAACCAGGGAACATACTGATTTGCATTTTCAAGTTCATGAAGGAAGACTTGAAATGGTTGTGTTACAGGCCTAATTAATACATGCCTGTGTGATACAGGGATACTACAGGGTTTTGTTATTTCATAGTGGGGGAACCAGGTTCCAAAGTGAAATCATTTGGACATTTAAAAAAGATTTAAGGTCAATTCTATGATTTGAATTTTTTCCATGTCCATCCCTGAGATGAAGTCTGTATCCTCCGTTGCAGGTGAATTTCCTGAGGGAAGGCTGTGGTGATGATAAGATCTGTCAGAGCAACCTGAAGTTGACCTACCAGTTTGGAACCCGACCTATCACCTCTGACCTCTTCACCCCTCTGCCAAGGTTTGTATGACTTCTTCTTTATATTTCCTCATTCCCCAGAGAAGAGGAGTTCAGCAATTCCAATAGCTGTTACATTCTACCTTCTATTTTACCATGCCTCTATATCTGAGCTGCCCGACACTGTCCCTGGAGAGCCAAAATGACAAAATGGCACCCACAGACACGGTCGCCCTGTTTCTAGCTCCTAGACAACTTTGGAGTATTTCATTTCCTATGTTATTTGCCAAGAATGTTTCTTGTATTATTGCCTGCAGCCGAAAATAACTTATATTCACACCATTATATATATATATATATATATATATATATATTTATTACGGACTCTGACATTGCTCGTTCTGATATTTCTTAATTTCTTTATTTTAACTTTTTGGATTATGTGTGTATTGTTTTGTATTGCTAGGTATTACTACACTGTTAGAGCTTGAAACACAAGCATTTCGCTGCACCTGCAATAACATCTGCAAATCTGTATATGCGACCAATAAACTTTGATTTGATTTGATTACCCTCCTGTAGGTTTTTCGCTCTACCCCAGTTGTAACTAACCTGATTCAGCTTATCAACCAGCTAACTATTATAAGAATCAGGTCTGCTAGATTAGTGTCAGAGTCATCTCGGTTAACCCAGAACTAAAGTCTTGCGTAATTGGTTAGCTGCTCAATAGTTCTGGGTCCATACATGTTAAGAGACGAGATTAAGAGATTCTAGAACGTGGAACGGATTCGCAAACGAGGAGCTCCACCCTCTCTCTTTGCAAATTATCGGCCCGAATGTCTCCTCCCCTTCCAAAATTCGAAAGATACTAATAAACAGTGTCCAAATAACCAGTGACGAAACCCCCCCCCCCCCCCCCCCCCAAAACCAGAACTACCGCTGCTCGTTGTCCCAGGCATCCCATTCCTTCCTGACAGATTCTACGGTACCAGTTATGTACACCTAGATCTGTCCACCAGAGATTAGGGTTGGAGAGAAAACACTCCTACAGTAGTGCTCCAGGAACGGGGTTGGGCCGTCCTGCCCTACATCTTAAACAACCTCAGATGGGTATTATTCTTCCTTTTTTGTTTCACTGTTCCTTCATATCCAACCACTTTTTTTTCTAGTTACCTCATGCCCCTCTCATTCCAGAGATGGTGAGGAGGTGTTCTCTCTGTTCTGACCAGAGATCCTATGTCTAACCACTCTCTCTATTCCTCTTTTCTATTTCCTTTTTATCCCTTCATTCCAGGGACGATGAAGAGGTGGCGGTGTTTTCTCTGTCTGACCAGAGGTCTGTGGTGTTGGAGGTGACCGTCACCAACATGCCCTCTGACCCTCTGTACCCAGAGGAAGACGGAGATGATGCCCACGCTGCCCAGCTACTGGTGAACCTTCCGGACACCCTGTCCTACTCTGGCTTCAGGGGACAACAGGTACACACACCAAACACACACACGCATATACACACATTCACGGTCATGTTCAACCTCTCCTTGTCCAAGTCAGTAATCCCCACGTCTTAAAACATTTTACTACAGTGGGCTAAATCAGGGTCACACGTTGTGATTCTTGGCACTCTTAAACAAATCCACGTTGAAACAAATGTATACACCTCATACACATGGTTATGGTCTTTAAAAAAAGAAGACCTGTCAGATGTAGAGATGAAATGTATTCCATTTTGAGTTTGCATCCCAATATTTCACTTTACTATACACCACAGAAGACTGAAATATAACAAAACCATTTGACATAGAAACACCGGAATTTCAGCGTAAAATAAATAAATAATGTTGATTAATTATGAAAAATATTAATAACATTCCACCCGTGAGGCCACTAGAGGGCGATTTGATCATTTGGCTGCAGGAAAGGTCTACAATGACTACAATCATTCCTCTTCCCAAGACCTCTAAGGCTTCATGCCACCATGACTACCACCCTGCAGCACTCACATCTTTAATTAAAGTGCTTTGAAAGGCTGGTCATGGCACACATCACCTCCATCATCCCAGACACCCTAAACCCACTCTAATTTGCATACCGCCCCAACAGATCCATAGACGATGCAATCTCAATTGCACTCCACACTGCCCTCACCCACCTAGATAAGAGGAATATGTTAGAATGCTCTTCATTGACTGCAGCTCAGTGTTCAACACCATTGTCCCATCCAAGCTCGTCACCAAGCTTAGGACCCTGGGACTGAACACCTCCCTCTGCAACAGGATCCTGGACTTCCTGACGGGCCGCGCCCAGGTGGTGAGGGTAGGCAACATCACCTCCGCCACGCTGACCCTCAACACCGGGGCCCCACAGGGGTGTGTGCTTTGTCCCCTCCTGTACTCCCTGTTCACCCATGACTGCGTGGCCACGTACAAATCCAACACCATCATCACGTTTGCTGACGACACAATGGTGGTAGGTCTGATCACCAGCGACAATGATACAGCCTATGGGAGGAGGTCAGAGACCTGGTGGTGCTAGGAAAACAACCTCTCCCTCAACGTCAACAAGACCAAGGAGCTGATCATGGACTACAGGAAACGAGCCCATCCACATCGACGGGGCTGCAGTGGAGCGGGTCGAGATTTTCAAGTTCCTCGATGTCCAAATCACTAAGGACTTGGTTCACATGCGCACAATCGTGAAGAAGGCGCGACAGCACCTCTTCCCCCTCAGGAGGTTGAAAAGGTTTGGCATGGGCCCTCAAATCCTCAAAATGTTATACAGCTGCAACATTGAGAGCATCTGGTATGCCAACAGCACCGCCCTCGATCGCATGGCGCTACAGAGGGTGGTGCGGACAGCCCAGTACATCACTGGGGCCGAGCTCCCTGCCATCTAGGATCTCTATATCAGGCGGTGTGACAGGAAGGCCCGTAAAATCATTAAAGACTCCAGCCACCCAAGCCATAGACTGTTGTCTCTGCTTCCGCACGGCAAGCGGTACCGGTGAAGTCTGACACCAACAGGCTCCTGAACAGCTTCTATCCCCAAGCCATAAGACTGCTCAATGGCTAACAAAATGGCTACACTGACTAGTTGACCCTTGTATTTATTCCTATGCACACTCACAGGACTCTACACACTCACGCATACTGACACTCCAACACACACATAACATGCACACACTTTTATATTGACACACGTACACTTACTCACATACAATCATCATATATGCTGCTGCTACTCTGTTTATCTTATATCCTGATGCCTAGTCACCTTACCCCTATACATACACTACATGACCAGAAGTATGTGGACACCTGCTCATCGAACATCTCATTCCAAAATCATGGGCATTAATATTGAGTTGGTCCCCCCTTTGCCGCTATAAAAGTTTCCACTCTTCTGGAAAGAATTTCCACTAGATGTTGGAACATTTCTGCCGGGACTTGCTTCCATTCAGCAACGAGCATTAGTGAGGTTGGGCACTGATGTTGAGCGATTATGCCTGGCTCGCAGTCGGTGTTCCAATTCATCCCAAAGGAGTTCGATGGGGTTGAGGTCAGGGCTCTGTGCAGGCCAGTCAAATTCTTCCACACCAATCTCGACAAACCATTTCTGTATGGACCTCGCTTTGTGCACGGGGGCATTGTCATGCTGAAACAGGAAAGGGCCTTCCCCAATCTGTTGCCACAAAGTTGGAACCACAGAATCGTCTAGAATGTCATTGTATGCTAAGGGGACTAGCGCGAACCATAAAAAACTGCCCCAGACCATTATTCCTCCTCCAACAAACTTTACAGTTGGCACTATGCATTGGGGAAGGTAGCGTTCTCCTGGCATCCGCCAAACCCAGATTCGTCCACCGGACTGCCAGATGGTGAAGCGTGATTCATCACTCCAGAGAACGCGTTTCCACTGCTCCAGAGTATAATGGTGGCGAGCTTTACACCACTCCAGCCGACGCTGATCTTAGGCTTGTGTGCGGCTGCTCGGCCATGGAAACCCATTTCATGAAGTTCCTGACGAACAGTTCTTGTGCTGACGTTGCTTCTAGAGGCAGTTTGGAACTTGGTAGTGAGTGTTGCAACCGAGGACAGATGATCTTTAGACGCTACGCGCTTCAGCAATCGGCGGTCCCGTTCTGTGAGCTTCTGTGGCCTACCACTTCGCGGCTGAGCCGTTGTTGCTCCTAGACGTTTCCATTTCACAATAACAGCACTTACAGTTGACCGGGGCAGCTCTAGCAGGGCAGGAAATTTGATGAACTGACTTGTTGGAAAGGTGGCATCCTATGACGGTACCACGTTGAAAGTCACTGAGCTCTTCAGTACGGGCCATTCTACTGCCAATGTTTGTCTATGGAGATTGCATGGCTGTGTATTGATTACTGCATTTATATTGATTACTGCATTGTTGGGTTTGTAGTTTGCAAGAAAGGCATTTCACTGTACTTGTACATGTGACATTAAAAACTTGAAATATGAAACACACACAACCTGTCCTACTCGGGTACACACACCTAACTCTAGCCTTGATCCTCACCAGGGTTGGGATCAATTCCACAAATTCAATTTAAATTAAATTCTCTCGCCGTGTAAATTCAATTTATTTTTAATTAAAATTCCAGTTCAGTCTTTGAATTCAGAGATACAGTGGGGGAAAAAAATATTTAGTCAACCACCAATTGTGCAAGTTCTCCCACTTAAAAAGATGAGAGAGGCCTGTAACTTTCATCATAGGTACACGTCAACTATGACAGACAAAATGAGAAGAAAAAAATCCAGAAAATCACATTGTAGGATTTTTTATGAATTTATTTGCAAATTATGGTGGAAAATAAGTATTTGGTCAATAACAAAAGTTTCTCAATACTTTGTTATATACCTTTTGTTGGCAATGACACAGGTCAAACGTTTTCTGTAAGTCTTCACAAGGTTTTCACACACTGTTGCTGGTATTTTGGCCCATTCCTCCATGCAGATCTCCTCTAGAGCAGTGATGTTTTGGGGCTGTCGCTGGGCAACACTGACTTTCAACTCCCTCCAAAGATTTTCTATGGGGTTGAGATCTGGAGACTGGCTAGGCCACTCCAGGACCTTGAAATGCTTCTTACGAAGCCACTCCTTCGTTGCCCGGGTGGTGTGTTTGGGATCATTGTCATGCTGAAAGACCCAGCCATGTTTCATCTTCAATGCCCTTGCTGAAGGAAGGAGGTTTTCACTCAAAATCTCACGATACATGGCCCCATTCATTCTTTCCTTTACACGGATCAGTCGTCCTGGTCCCTTTGCAGAAAAACTGCCCCAAAGCATGATGTTTCCACCCCCATGCTTCACAGTAGGTATGGTGTTCTTTGGATGCAACTCAGCATTCTTTGTCTTCCAAACACGACGAGTTGAGTTTTTACCAAAAAGTTATATTTTGGTTTCATCTGACCATATGACATTCTCCCAATCCTCTTCTGGATCATCCAAATGCACTCTAGCAAACTTCAGACGGGCCTGGACATGTACTGGCTTAAGCAGGGGGACACGTCTGCACTGCAGGATTTGAGTCCCTGGCGGCGTAGTGTGTTACTGATGGTAGGCTTTGTTACTTTGGTCCCAGCTCTCTGCAGGTCATTCACTAGGTCCCCCCGTGTGGTTCTGGGATTTTTGCTCACCGTTCTTGTGATCATTTTGACCCCACGGGGTGAGATCTTGCGTGGAGCCCCAGATCGAGGGAGATTATCAGTGGTCTTGTATGTCTTCCATTTCCTAATAATTGCTCCCACAGTTGATTTCTTCAAACCAAGCTGCTTACCTATTGCAGATTCAGTCTTCCCAGCCTGGTGCAGGTCTACAATTTTGTTTCTGGTGTCCTTTGACAGCTCTTTGGTCTTGGCCATAGTGGAGTTTGGAGTGTGACTGTTTGAGGTTGTGGACAGGTGTCTTTTATACTGATAACAAGTTCAAACAGGTGCCATTAATACAGGTAACGAGTGGAGGACAGAGGAGCCTCTTAAAGAAGAAGTTACAGGTCTGTGAGAGCCAGATATCTTGCTTGTTTTTAGGTGACCAAATACTTATTTTCCACCATAATTTGCAAATAAATTCATAAAAAATCCTACAATGTGATTTTCTGTATTTTTTTTTCTCAGTTTGTCTGTCATAGTTGACGTGTACCTATGATGAAAATTACAGGCCTCTCTCATCTTTTTAAGTGGGAGAACTTGCACAATTGGTGGCTGACTAAATACTTTTTCCCCCCACTGTAATTCAATTCCTCTGAATTCCAGTGTTAGGTAAATTCCAAGACTGCAAATCCCAATTCAATATTATCCCCAACAATTCCACAAATTCCAATTAAAATTCAGTTCCCTCTGGTTTAAGGCTGATCATTTCACTGTTCAGACAACCTAGCTATATGGGAAATATAGGAATACAGGTTGAAATGATTAAAAACAAATCGTACAGTCAATTTTTTAATACTATGGTCATTAATTCCATTAACTGGGACATTTTAAAATATTGAATTCCAATTCAATTCATTTCCGAAGATTAAATGTTTTTACAATTCCAATTCAATTCCAGTTAAAAAAGTCCAAGCAGTCTAATTCCAATTCAATTCCAATTCCATAACTTGAATACTCAAATGTAATTAAATGTAAATGATCCACTTCATGAGTGAATTCAAGAATTGAATTGGAATTTCAAAGTAAATTGGACTTGACCCCAACCCTGACCCTAACCCTGCCGGACACCCTTTCCTACTCTGGCTTCGGGACAACAGGTATTCACACTTAAACGTTTCCATTCCTCTCAGATCTCCACCAGTGTCTAGGAGGTAGGGTCTAGGGGTCGATTCTGGACAGGGCTGACATGTTACGCTTAGAGCCAGGAGTTTTTCCTGACCCAGGAAAAACTATGTTGGTGATGTGGTCAGGGAAACCTTAGGGCAACTTTACCTTGCTACAGTAGCAGTATAATGATCCTGTTTCCTGTTTCCTGTGTGTAGGTGGTGTGCCAGGCCAATCAGAATGGCTCTCAGGCAGAGTGCGAGCTGGGAAACCCCCTGAAGAGAGATGCTATACTGAAGTTCTACATCATCCTTAGCACCTCTGCTATCACCATAGAGACCACGGAACTCACTGTCAACCTCCTGCTGGCTACGTAAGTCCTGGCTGGGCAACTTATTTTCATAGTTGTTCCATTTAACGCATCTTTGTTTTCTCGTACTGTAAAAAAACACTGTTTATTTTCATATCATGGCAATTCACAAGGTGAATGGCTTTGCTTGGTACTACACTAATAAAACATTCATTGCACATGGAAGGGAATTACTAGTTTCAATATATGTATTCAAATTGATATAGCTAGAAATGAAGATAGAACGTTTATCCAGATTGCAGTCAATATGATATGTGTGTGTTGTCTCCTCCTCAGTATCAGTGAACAGCGAGACCTGGCCCCAGTCATAGCCGTGGCTAAAATCATCATAGAGCTCCCCCTGGCTGTCAGTGGGTAAGTCACACCCTCATATCACTGGTGTGTCAAACTAATTTTGCCCACGGTGGCCACATTCAGTACAGTGAGTCAGTAGGTCAAAAACACATTCATTGATTTGATTTATTTAATCCAGGATAGTGACAGTCCACTCTGTAACACTTGCTGCTGTTTTCAAGGAGTCCTGAGATCCATAAAAACAGTAAACAGTGGTACCATAAGACTCTCAGGCTCTGTCCAGCTGTCCACTGACCCTACCTGTCTGTCTCTGTGTTGTTTCAGGCTGGCCAGACCACACCAGCTGTTCTTCAGTGGGGCTGTGAAGGGGGAGAGCGCCATGGAGACTCTGGACGATGTGGGGAGTGCTGTGGAGTTTGAGTTTATGGTGAGAGAAGAAGAGAGGAGTCAAAAGACGATGTAGCATGATAATGTAGCATGAAAATGTAGCATGCTAATGTAGCATGGAAATGTAGCATGCTAATGTAGCACAGGGATATACAGTATTCTAAGGCTGTGAACCTTGGAAGATATACGATGAAAAGCTATGCAGTGTTGTGAAGAGAGCAATATATGAATATTTTGATGTGTTTTTTTTAAATCATTGATCATGTTTCATTCGGTTAACTATTCAGTCCTTCATGTTTTAATCAGGTGACCAACACCGGGCCGTCCCTGCAGACGCTAGGCTCCGCCTTCCTCAACATCATGTGGCCTCACGAGCTGTCCAATGGGAAGTGGCTCCTGTACCCCACTTCTCTCCACTTCCATGGCCATCCAGAAACACCCTGTACCCCCCACACCTCCCTCAACCCACGCAAGTTCACCCACAGCTCTCCTTCTGACGACCAGCCACAGGCTGCAGGCCTGAAGGTAGGCTTTTAGTTGTCTTGAGCCATAAGGGGTTCCATAAATTGAGATATTGTCCAGAAATAACCACATTGGACAAAAAGTGTACACCTCCCCACACCCATGAGCTAAAGCATAATTATATTGTTTGCCTAAAACTAAGTATTTTGTTGTTTCATTAGATTTATTTGATCTCTGCTTCCTATCCCTGTGAGCAGGCCAGGAGGAAGGGGCGGTCCCACCCAGAAGAGGAAGGGCATGTGATGACCAAGGGCAGTCTGGGTAGGACCACGCCTGCTGTGGCCGCCTCAGAGAGACGCAAGTCACTCAAACTGGTGAGAGAGAGGGAGAGAGATGGACAGGGAACAAGAGGGACAGGGAACAAGAGGGATTACAATGGGGTTGTAACCAGTGTTGGGGAATCTACTCCGACAATATAGTTTACCAGTTACTTCACACTGGAAGAAGTTAAGTAACACTAAAGCTACGCTGAAGAAAATACAGTTTACTTAACTAAAGCAACTTTGTGAGATATTATCATATCTAAATCTGAAACGTCATAGACTACAAATCGCAAGAACAGATCACTCTGGAGACAGATTTGAACAGAATGTGTAATTTATCCTATTAACCACATAAACAGAAGTGAGAATTATAGGCAGGTCTGATGCCGAAAAATAAAGGAAATTCTGGCCTACTTCACCCATATTTTCTCTTCTTTTTGCAAAAAAAGTTGTGTGTAGTTCCAATAGTTAGCTACACCACTACATGGCTATAAAGTAATTAACTAACACTGTGAAACACTACCAAGAGTTGAATTTAGTTCAACTGCCACCAAGCTACTGTAAAATCTAGTTAAATTACTAGTTGAACTACATGTAGTTCACCACTCTCCAACACTGGTTGTAATCAAGCCAGCACCACAGAAAACATCACATAGCTCACGTGCTGCAAACATGCCCTAGAGCCCTGCATCTCAGCGCATCCATACTGTGAGTTTGATTGAATACCAGCCCAGCTATTCTCATCGATGGTCTTCCCAACCCTCTGTGTGTGTGTAGGACTGTCTGCTGGGTTCAGCGCGCTGTGTGGTGTTCCAGTGTCCTCTCTACAGCTTCTCTGGCTCAGCTGTCCTCAAGATCCAGGGACGCCTTTGGAACAGCACCTTCCTGGAGGTAAAACACCACGTCACCTATCGCATTGTGTTGTTATGTGGTAATAGCAAAGACTACCATTCCCATGACGCAATTGGCCCCACACGACACGTGGCGTCACAGCGCCTTCCTGAAGGTAAAACAAACAAACACGTCACATTACATTTCTGTTTTAGTCATTTAGCAGACACTCTTATCCAGAGCGACTTACAGTAGTGCATTCATTTTAACATACAGTGGGGAAAAAAAGTATTTAGTCAGCCACCAATTGTGCAAGTTCTCCCACTTAAAAAGATGAGAGAGGCCTGTAATTTTCATCATAGGTACACGTCAACTATGACAGACAAAATGAGGAAAAAAAATCCAGAAAATCACATTGTAGGATTTTTATGTATTTATTTGCAAATTATGGTGGAAAATAAGTATTTGGTCACCTACAAACAAGCAAGATTTCTGGCTCTCACAGATCTGTAACTTCTTCTTTAAGAGGCTCCTCTGTCCTCCACTCGTTTCCTGTATTAATGGCACCTGTTTGAACTTGTTATCAGTATAAAAGACACCTATCCACAACCTCAAACAGTCACACTCCAAACTCCACTATGGCCAAGACCAAAGAGCTGTCAAAGGACACCAGAAACAAAATTGTAGACCTGCACCAGGCTGGGAAGACTGAATCTGCAATAGGTAAGCAGCTTGGTTTGAAGAAATCAACTGTGGGAGCAATTATTAGGAAATGGAAGACATACAAGACCACTGATAATCTCCCTCGATCTGGGGCTCCACGCAAGATCTCACCCCGTGGGGTCAAAATGATCACAAGAACGGTGAGCAAAAATCCCAGAACCACACGGGGGGACCTAGTGAATGACCTGCAGAGAGCTGGGACCAAAGTAACTAAGCCTACCATCAGTAACACACTACGCCGCCAGGGACTCAAATCCTGCAGTGCAAGACGTGTCCCCCTCCTTAAGCCAGTACATGTCCAGGCCCGTCTGAAGTTTGCTAGAGTGCATTTGGATGATCCAGAAGAGGATTGGGAGAATGTCATATGGTCAGATGAAACCAAAATATAACTTTTTGGTAAAAACTCAACTCGTCGTGTTTGGAAGACAAAGAATGCTGAGTTGCATCCAAAGAACACCATACCTACTGTGAAGCATGGGGGTGGAAACATCATGCTTTGGGGCTGTTTTTCTGCAAAGGGACCAGGACGACTGATCCGTGTAAAGGAAAGAATGAATGGGGCCATGTATCGTGAGATTTTGAGTGAAAACCTCCTTCCATCAGCAAGGGAATTGAAGATGGAACGTGGCTGGGTCTTTCAGCATGACAATGATCCCAAACACACCGCCCGGGCAACGAAGGAGTGGCTTCGTAAGAAGCATTTCAAGGTCCTGGAGTGGCCTAGCCAGTCTCCAGATCTCAACCCCATAGAAAATCTTTGGAGGGAGTTGAAAGTCCGTGTTGCCCAGCGACAGCCCCAAAACATCACTGCTCTAGAGGAGATCTACATGGAGGAATGGGCCAAAACACCAGCAACAGTGTGTGGAAACCTTGTGAAGACTTACAGAAAACGTTTGACCTGTGTCATTGCCAACAAAGGGTATATAACAAAGTATTGAGAAACTTTTGTTATTGACCAAATACTTATTTTCCACCATAATTTGCAAATAAATTCATTAAAAATCCTACAATGTGATTTTCAGGATTTTTTTTTCTCATTTTGTCCGTCATAGTTGACGTGTACCTATGATGAAAATTACAGGCCTCTCTCATCTTTTTAAGTGGGAGAACTTGCACAATTGGTGGCTGACTAAATGCTTTTTTTCCCCCACTGTAGCTGGTGAGACTACATATCCCAATCGTAGCAAGTACATTTTCCCTCAACAAAATATTTATCAGCAAAGTCAGTGCTAGTAGGAAAAAACAAGTGTTTTTTGAGCTTATAGCTTATAGATAGATATAACCTGCTCTCACGTATTGTGTTATGTGTTTTAACATAGACTACTGTTCCCATAAAGCAATGCATAACTTGTGGTGGTTGATAGAATTGTATGGCCTTGTATGACTACACAATGATGCACTTTGCTAGATGAAGCATCTGGTTATTAAAAGTAGTAATCCTGCGCCTGGTTTCATCAATGAACAAACACAACACTACCACTCAACGACACTCAACCTCTCAACAGTGGCCATTGCTCTCTGTCACAGCTCCAACCTTTATGTCTCTGCTTGGCACGTTTTCCTGAAGTACCACTTAATGCAAGTGCATGTTAACAGTAGCATTTGTATCGATGAAACAGTAACTGTGAAAGGGCATTATGAAGGAGTGAGAGCAATCACAGACTGTAACTACAAAGGCAACACGAGGGCGGGCGGAACAGGAGGGACCCTTTGCATTGTACTTTGACAATGTATTAATCAGCATAAGCCGTCATTATCCGTGTTCCGTGTCATTCATTGTTATAAAACAATGAGGATAAGTCATGGGATTTGGCTAAAGCACAGACTGATCTCAGTCTCTTTCCAGGCTAACCTATTATTGATCATCTCATATAAATATATCATTGATAATGTCATTGATAATGTTTGGCCAGTGTAATCTCCTCTCCCTAGTAAATGTCTGTGTTGATGAGGTCTTCTCTGCTTCTGCTTGCTCTTTGGGGTCTAGGCTGGGCTGCTATAAAGCACGTTGTGCCAAGACAAGTACTGATGTTTAAAGGGCTTTATGTAAACCTCTGATGGATACATCATTTATTGATGAGTTCTCTTGCCGTCAGGAGTTTCCTTCAGACCATGTTCTGGAGATGCTGGTCAGAGGCTCTCTAATCTCCTTCACCTAGTAAAGACAGTGTTCCTCGAGAAGCAGAGAGCAGAAGAGAGGACGCAAGAAGAGAACCGCGAGAAGAGAATAGGAAGCGGAGAAGAAGAGACGGAAGGAGAGACGAGACGAGCGAAAAAGATAAGAACGCGAAGTAGAAGGAGAGATAGAGAGCACGAACGAAAAAGGATATACTCCGATACCTCTCACTCTACACTCTCCCTCTCCCCTCCTTCCCTCTCCCTTTCTATCTATCTCTCTCTCTATCTCTCGCTCTCTCTTCTCTCTCTCTCTCTCTCTCTCTCTCTCTCTGCTTCTTCTCCTCTCTCTCCTCTCTCTCTCTCTCTCTCTATCTCTATCAGGAGTCCATCATTCAGTGCTCTGGCGCTGCTGGAGAGCCAACATCACAGTCAAGTCCAGCATCAAACACCTGGTGCTGAGGGATGCTGCCGCACAGGTAACACACACACACACACACACACACTGAGAGACACACACACACACACTCAGAAACTCACACTCTTAACTATTAACATGAATAACTAGAGCTATGAGTATTTCCTGACCATATGACCTGACCAGGAAAAGACTATGGGCTCTAACTACTAGTGACACATACACAGTAAAGACAAGACACTTCACAATAAAGCACTCATTGCTTTATATTGCTGTGTTTTCCCTTTAGGTCCCAGTGATGATTTACCCAGAGATTGGTCTGACTGCCCAGTACTGGATCCCCTGGTGGTGGATCCTCATAGCCATCCTGGCTGGTATCCTGGTGCTGGCTCTGCTGGTCTGCATCCTCTGGAAGGTACCAACACCTAGTATAACCCATAATAAACACCTCTATTACTGTTCCTACATATCCTCTATTATGCTGGTGCTGGCTCTGCTGGCATGCATACCGTAGAAGATACAACACACATCATATGACTTAGTTACTGTACCTACATACACTATATATAAAAAGTATGTGGATACCCATTCAAATTAGTGGATTTGGCTATTTCAGCCACACCCGTTGCTGACAGGTGTATAAAATCGAGCACACAGCCATGCAATCTCCATAGAAAAAGATTGGCATTAGAAAGGCCTTACTGAAGAGCTCAGTGATTTTCAACGTGGCACGTCATAGGATGTCACCTTTCCAACAAGTCAGTTCATCAAATTTCTGCCCTGCTAGAGCTGCCCCGGTCAACTGTAAGTGCTGTTGTTGTGAAGTGGAAACGTCTATGAGCAACAACGGCTCAGCCGCGAAGTGGTAGGCCACACAAGCTCACAGAACGGGACCACCAAGTGCTGAAGCGTGTAGCGCGTAAAAATCGTCTGTCCTCGGTTGCAACACTCACTACTAAGTTCCAAACTGCCTCTGGAAGAAACGTCAGCACAAGAACTGTTCATCGGGAACTTCATGAAATGGGATCTTAGCCTAAGATCACCATATGCAATGCCAAGTGTCGGCTAGAATGGTGTAAAGCTCGCCGCCATTGGACTCTAGAGCAGTGGAAACACGTTCTCTGGAGTGTTGAATCACGTTTCACCATCTGTCAGTCCGACGGACGAATCTGGGTTTGGCGGATGCCAGGAGAACGCTGCCTGCCTGAATACATAGTGCCAACTGTAAAGTTTGGTGGAGGAGGAGTAATGGTCTTGGGGTGTTTTTCATGGTTCATGCTAGGCCCCTTAGTTCCAATGAACGAAAATCTTAACGCTACAGCATACAATGACATTCTAGACGATTCTGTGCTTCCAACTTTGTGGCAACAGTTTGGGGAAGTCCCTTTCATGTTTCAGCATGACAATGCCCCCGTGCACAATGTGAGGTTCATACAAAAATGGTTTGTCGAGATTGGTGTGGAAGAACATGACTGGCCTCCACAGAGCCCTGACCTCAACCCCATCAAACACCTTTGGGATGAATTAGAACGCCGACTGCAAGCCAGGTCTAATCGCGCAACATCAGTGCCCGACCTCACTAATGCTCAAGGGGCTGAATGGAAGCAAGTCCCCGCAGCAATGATCCAACATCTAGTGGAAAGCCTTCCCAGAAGAGTGGAGGCTGTTATAGCAGCAAAGGGGGGACCAACTCCATATTAATGCCCATTGTTATGGAATGAGATGTTGGACGAGCAGGTGTCCACATACGTTTGGTCATGTAGAGTATCTCTATTACCCTGGCTGGTATCCTGCTGGCTCTGCTGGTCTGCATCCTCTGGAAGGTACCAACATCTAGTATAAACTATAATAAACATAGCTTCCTACATATCTCTATTATACTGCTGCTGGCTCTGCTGGCCCGCATCCTTTGGAAGGTACCAACACCTAGTATTTCTGATTTATTGTCACATCCACCAGATAGTTTAAATAAAACATGATTTATTGTCACATCCACCAGATAGTTTAAATAAAACATGATTTATTGTCACACCCACCAGATAGTTTAAATAAAACATGATTTACTGTCACATCCCCCAGATAGTTTAAATAAAACATTATTTATTGTCACATCCACCATGCAGATAGCCAATTTCCATTATTCTCTTATCATTCAATTTCTTTGATATTACCATCTAGTCCATCTCTCTGCTCTCTCTTCTCTAGTCCATCTCTCTGCTCTCTCTTCTCTAGTCCATCTCTCTGCTCGCTCCTCTAGTCCATCTCTCTGCTCTCTTCTCTAGTCCATCTCTCTGCTCTATTCTCTAGTCCGTCTCTCTGCTCTATCCTCTAGTCCATCTCTCTCCTCTCTCTTCTCTAGTCCATCTCTCCTCCTCTCTCTTCTCTAGTCCATCTCTCCTCCTCTCTTTCCTCTAGTCCATCTCTCCTCCTCTCTTTCCTCTAGTCCATCTCTCTGCTCTATTCTCTAGTCCATCTCTCCTCCTCTCTTTCCTCTAGTCCATCTCTCTGCTCTATTCTCTAGTCCATCTCTCCTCCTCTCTCTTCTCTAGTCCATCTCTCCTCCTCTCTCTTCTCTAGTCCATCTCTCCTCCTCTCTCTTCTCTAGTCCATCTCTCCTCCTCTCTCTTCTCTAGTCCATCTCTCCTCCTCTCTTTCCTCTAGTCCATCTCTCCTCCTCTCTTTCCTCTAGTCCATCTCTCTGCTCTATTCTCTAGTCCATCTCTCTGCTCTATTCTCTAGTCCATCTCTATGCTCTATTCTCTAGTCCATCTCTATGCTCTCTCCTCTAGTCCATCTCTATGCTCTCTCCTCTAGTCCATCTCTCTGCTCTATTCTCTAGTCCATCTCAGCTCCTCTCTATTCTCTAGTCCATCTCTCTGCTCTCTCCTCTAGCCCATCTCTCTGCTCTCTCCTCTAGCCCATCTCTCTGCTCTCTCCTCTAGCCCATCTCTCTGCTCTCTCCTCTAGCCCATCTCTCTGCTCTCTCCTCTAGCCCATCTCTCTGCTCTCTCTAGCCCATCTATCTCCTCTGCTACTACTCCTCATAGCCCATCTCTCGTCTCTTTCTCTAGTACATCTCTCCTCCTCTCTCTTCTCTAGTCCATCTCTCCTCCCCTCTCTTCTCTAGTCCATCTCTCTCCTCTCTCTACTCTCTAATCCATCTCTCCTCTTCTTTACTTACATTCCAACTGCGCTCTCTCTCTCTCTCTCTCTCTCTCTCTCTCTCTCTCTCCCTCTCTTCCTCCTTCCCTTCACATCTCTGTTGTAACTCCCGCTCCTCCTTCTCCTCCCTCCCCAGTGTGGGTTCTTCAAGCGTACAGAGCGCCGCCCGCAGTACGAAACAGAGTACTACCGCGCCCACATGCATGCTCAGCCCTCTGAGGTTGAGAAGCAGGCGTCAGACCAATAGGTTCCTGCCCTCTCGTCTCTCCAAGTGGTAAAGCCATGCACCCTGGCCTGCTCTGCACAATGGCTTGCTCTGGACCTTGGCCTGCTCTGCACTGGCCTGCCAGTGCTGTGACTTTGCCTGAGTTGTTATCTGTAAACCTTTGTATACCTGAAACAAGTTCATCCTGGCGTTGTAGGAGGTTGTGTACATGTTCTCTTCCTTATGAGATTGTCCTTCCTGTTCTATTCATGAATAATCTCATTTCATCTGGTCACACGTCACCTGATTAGATTAGGTTAGAATGCCAGAATGAACTTGTTCCTTGTTTCTCACAAAATGGTGGTGCAGGAGTGTGTTGACAGCATAAGGTTATTATGCTGTGTGGTGTGTTTACTTTGCTTGTTGTGTGTCACCTGTTTTATTCAAACTTTACGCAAATCACCTGGATGTTTTTGGCTTTTGTGGCACATGCACAATGTTTCAGAATCAGCAACCAAAATGTTTCCTTGGGTTAAACAGCAACATCAACCTAGTCTCTCTCTCTCTCTCTCTCTCTCTCTCTCTCTCTCTCTCTCTCTCTCTCGCTCTCTCTCGCTCTCTCTCGCTCTCTCCCACAGTGTGGTTTCTTCCGTCGGGTCCAGTATGAAGATAAAGTGCCTCAATACCATGCGGTGAAGATCCCCCGTCAAGACCGGCCCCAGTTCCAACAGAAGGCAGGGATCCTCCAGAAGAAGGAGTGGGCCACACACTGGAGCGACGGAAGCTCCTGAACAACAACAACAAACAAGGAGTAGAATAAGAACAACAAACAGCCATTCAACCCTATGACACTCACTAACTCTGCAGTGGAACAAACGTGTGCAGACAGACTGACCGTGTCACAACAGTGTTGTGCACATTGAGGCTATGTCCTGATTCTTCACCCTTCTTCTGAAGTGTGCACGTGCACACTTCCCGTCATGGATTTATCAATGGTGAAAACTCACCCAAGCCAATACTATTCTACTGTATTCTACTGTATTCTACTTTTAAAATGACTGGATCAATATTCTGGACTGCTACTGCTACTGCTGACTGACTGACTATCTGACTGACTATCTGACTGACTGACTATCTGACTGACTGACTATCTGACTGACCTGACTGACTAACTATCTGGGGAGAATCTATATATACTATGCCTTGCATTGGTGTTTTACTGACTGTAATACTGCACACAGACTTCTGACTAGACCAATACTTATCTATCAGATTGATCAATACATATACAGTGGGGAAAAAAAGTATTTAGTCAGCCACCAATTGTGCAAGTTCTCCCACTTAAAAAGATGAGAGAGGCCTGTAATTTTCATCATAGGTACACGTCAACTATGACAGACAAAACGAGAAAAAAATATCCACAAAATCACATTGTAGGATTTTTTATGAATTTATTTGCAAACTATGGTGGAAAATAAGTATTTGGTCAATAACAAAAGTTTCTCAATACTTTGTTATATACCCTTTGTTGGCAATGACACAGGTCAAACGTTTTCTGTAAGTCTTCACAAGGTTTTCACACACTGTTGCTGGTATTTTGGCCCATTCCTCCATGCAGATCTCCTCTAGAGCAGTGACATACACAAAAAAAAATGTATGCACGCATGACTGTAAGTCGCTTTGGATAAAAGCGTCTGCTAAATGGCATATTATTATTATTATTATTATGTTTTGGGGCTGTCGCTGGGCAACACAGACTTTCAACTCCCTCCAAAGATTTTCTATGGGGTTGAGATCTGGAGACTGGCTAGGCCACTCCAGGACCTTGAAATGCTTCTTACGAAGCCACTCCTTCGTTGCCCGGGCGGTGTGTTTGGGATCATTGTCATGCTGAAAGACCCAGCCACGTTTCATCTTCAATGCCCTTGCTGATGGAAGGAGGTTTTCACTCAAAATCTCACGATACATGGCCCCATTCAGTCTTTCCTTTACACAGATCAGTCGTCCTGGTCCCTTTGCAGAAAAACAGCCCCAAAGCATGATGTTTCCACCCCCATGCTTCACAGTAGGTATGGTGTTCTTTGGATGCAACTCAGCATTCTTTGTCCTCCAAACACGACGAGTTGAGTTTTTACGAAAAAGTTATATTTTGGTTTCATCTGACCATATGACTTTCTCCCAATCCTCTTCTGGATCATCCAAATGCACTCTAGCAAACTTCAGACGGGCCTGGACATGTACTGGCTTAAGCAGGGGGACACGTCTGGCACTGCAGGATTTGAGTCCCTGGAGCGTAGTGTGTTACTGATGGTAGGCTTTGTTACTTTGGTCCCAGCTCTCTGCAGGTCATTCACTAGGTCCCCCCGTGTGGTTCTGGGATTTTTGCTCACCGTTCCTGTGATCATTTTGACCCCACGGGGTGAGATCTTGCGTGGAGCCCCAGATCGAGGGAGATTATCAGTGGTCTTGTATGTCTTCCATTTCCTAATAATTGCTCCCACAGTTGATTTCTTCAAACCAAGCTGCTTACCTATTGCAGATTCAGTCTTCCCAGCCTGGTGCAGGTCTACAATTTTGTTTCTGGTGTCCTTTGACAGCTCTTTGGTCTTGGCCATAGTGGAGTTTGGAGTGTGACTGTTTGAGGCTGTGGACAGGTGTCTTTTATACTGATAACAAGTTCAAACAGGTGCCATTAATACAGGTAATGAGTGGAGGACAGAGGAGCCTCTTAAAGAAGTAGTTACAGGTCTGTGAGAGCCAGAAATCTTGCTTGTTTGTAGGTGACCAAATACTTATTTTCCACCATAATTTGCAAATAAATTCATTAAAAATCCTACAATGTGATTTTCTGGAAAAAAATTTTTTCTCAATTTGTCATGGTTGACGTGTACCTATGATGAAAATTACAGGCCTCTCTCATCTTTTTAAGTGGGAGAACTTGCACAATTGGTGGCTGACTAAATACTTTTTTCCCCCACTGTAGATAGACTGAGCACTGACACTCAAATGGACTTTTACTACTGACAGGCATCAATATTCACTGATCTTTTCTGATAGGCTAATAGATCAAACACACACTTATTTCAAAGCCACTGCCTATGACTCGGACTGCTTCTTGCCTTAACTACTGTACTGCAAGATCGAAAAGGGCAAAGAAAAATGATGTTTATATATTATTGTTTAGCATTTTAATTTTAGTTACTGTAATACTACTGTTGGTACAACGTTAGAATGAAACAATCTGACAACACCAGCTCCCATTTAGAGAAGATTGACCATTTGGTACCTAATGAATACCGCCCAGCCTTCTGCCTGTTCACTGCTATGGCCATAACATTGTGATCAGTTGAATTGATTGTGTTGTAGCTATTTCAAGGACTGTGTCCTCTAGAGAGCTTAGGCTTTTGTTTTGTTTTGTGTCGGGTCGGCTGTGAGGAACAGCCATTGAGGAATTCACAATAACAATCCATCACTTTTGATGATCTTGAAGGAAACAACTTCAACATAGGAAACGACAATATCAACAGCCACAGCTCATGGTAGGAGATATTAGATCCAAATAAACAAAGTTTATATTTGTGGTTGAGTACCACATTGTTCAGGTACTTCACATATCCCCCTGCAGCCCCCTAGATGTCCTCAATAATTTGAAACCCTGATGGGAAAGATGATTGTAAATAATAATTTATTACAGTTTGTATTTACATAAAAGTGCCTTATGGCTTAATTCAAAAAGAGAGAGAATGAGTTGGTAGGAAGAGGATGAAAACTAACTTTGGAGCTACTGAAGGTTTGCTGAAGGTTTGCCGAAGGTTTGCTGAAGGTTTACCGAAGGTTTGCTGAAGGTTTGCTGAAGGTTAAGGTACATAATTCGTAGAGTGTTTCAGGACCCAGTTTAAAACATATATGTAGGGCCTGGAGTTTTCTCTGGTCAGGTTACGTGGTCCAGAGAAACTCCTGGCCCTATCACCCCTGAAGTGAATGGATATGAGAAGAGCCCTGTACACACAATGAATATACAGCCCTGTACACACAATGAATATACAGCCCTGTACACACAATGAATATATACGGCCCTGTACACACAATGAATATACGTCCCTGGTGTCTACAGGGCCATGAGCATGCAGAGTCAACGTTGTGATTTAGATATTGCTGGACAATCTTGTAATAGCATGAAAGAATATCGGTGTTGTTCAGATGATATTATTTTTTTGTCATGATTTTATTTATTTGTTTTACCATTGTAAATAACAACAAAAGTCAAAGACTAATTAAATGAATTTAGTTTGAGAATCGACTGGGTTTGGTCTTGGTATTTCCGTTAAAATGCCAGAACCTGCATAATGTCTTGTGGACACTAGATGGCGATAACACACTCTGGTTTGGCTTGGAAAGAGGGATGTACTGTATACAAATTTACATTTTAGTCATTTAGCAGACGCTCTTATCCAGAGCGACGTACAGTTAGTGAGTGCATACATTTTTCATACTTTTTATCATACTGGCCCCCCGTGGGAATCGAACCCACAACCCTGGCGTTGCAAGCGCAATGCTCTACCAATTGAGCTACAGGAGGCCTACTGAGCTACACAAATCTCAAGAATACTTAAAATGTTTGTAAAAACTGTTCATATAGAAGAAAACATTGTTTAGAAATGTATGCAGAGTTATCCTTATTTACAATAAATGGTACATCCAAAAGGATGAAAGGATATGCTTTTTGTAATTGTAGACAGTCTGAACTGTATATAGCACTGAGAGACAGTAGGCTTTTGTTCCTGTTATATTGGTTAAATAGAATTGCCTGCATGGTTCAACGCACAGATACAACAATTGCCATTGTATGTTGATATGTTTTGGTATGTTCTGGTATGTTCTGAATATGTTTTAATTTAACTTTTATTTAACCAGGTTAGTCTCATTGAGATAAAAGTCAATTTTTCAATAGAGACCTGGACCATGACAGCAGCATGAACACATCAGTTTCAGACAAACAGGAATATGACATCAACCAGACTAAGATACGTCAGTATAACTAGCAGTAAAGAGCATGTACACGACACAAGTCAGAAAACATTAGGCCCTGTATGTGAGGCCCTCTACAGGGCCATTACAGTATCAAAACTACTTCAGTAAAACAAAACGCTTCCTTACATAAGGCAACGCCGACTAGTGACATCTGGTGACAACTAGAAACAGCTACATGACTCAATCTGTTAATCTATTTGACCTTTGAAATCCTCCAGGGACACCAAGTCCAGGAGTTTTAGGTTGGCTTTTGTTAACACAAAACAAGATGGATCTGAGGTTTTAAGTGTTTTCATTTCGAGCTAGAAGAGAGGATAGATAAAATGGCAGTTTTCCTAAAAATACTTATAAAGATGAATATGTACCAGCAGAGTTCTCCCCAAAGAATGCAAGAGTGTCGCTGCGCCACCTTGTGGACTGGCTGTGGCACTACGTAATAATGATTATATATATATATATATATATATATATATATTTTTTTTAATCAAATTGAAGCCAGGCACCACACACTAATAAGGTATTTGTTTTGCTCCAGATTGCAGGAAATGGCATTTACAGGTGTTAAAAAATGCAAATATCTCTGAGTCCAAAGGGGGCCACTGCCCCCCTCCAGGCCTCTCCTTTCCACCATACTCAGCAGCTAAGTAAAGATCACTGTAATGATCACAAAGATGAGTACTAATCCTAATCAGTGTGTGTGTGGATGGCAGGGAGAATTTTATTTGTATGTATTTTCTGTAGCAGAGCTTCGACTGTTAAATGCACCTCAGCTGTAGCATAAAACAGTGGAAAGAGGCACGTCGCTAGCTGCCATTGTACCGGAGAACAAGCGCCCACGTGTGGACTATTCGGCCTCCCTATCTTTCCATCACAGTATAGACAAGGTCGGAGGAGTGCCGCGTCATAGTTCTGACCCTGCCTGCTATGAGAGTGAGTGATTGAGTGATTGAGTGAGTGAGTGAGTGAGTGAGTAAGTGAGTGAGTGTGCCAGCCAGCCATCCAGCCAGCCAGCCAGCGCTTTAGCCAGCCCGTTATCCCGTCGCAACCCAAACCTGTGGCTGCATCACTGCCTGGTATGGCAATA